GACCTCGTAATTTCTCAGGGAATGCTCTGCTGGTTCATAATGCGGATGTAGGCATAGATGCTTCCGTAACATTTTATTACTTTTATACAGGAAAGAAGAAGATGGTGGCATTCATCTCGTATTGATAGAAGGCTATAAAATAATCATACATGTGCCCCCTTTCCCAATCATGTAGCCCCGAAAGTAGTCTGTACACATTATGTCCCCGAAGTCTACCTTTGGTTAAAAAAAAAAAAAAAGACTATCCCAATCAAAGTTTTCATTACTTCCTTTCCCCCCTTACGCACCAGCCACGACGGCCAGATTATCATAAATCGCCCTCTTCACCTCGTATAGCGTGCTCCTCTTGCCGCCGAGCGGTAGACCCACGCTCTCCACGTCGATGCGTCCTTCGGCCGTCTTGCGGACTGCCACTGAGCCATCGACGACAAGCGTACCCTCGCCACGGAATTCAGCTGAGTGGCCTGCTCCCTGCATTGCGCGACGTAGATCCGCAAGTCGCAGGTCGCCGACGTGGAGGGACTGGGCAGCTGATCGAGCTGCTGAGATGAGGTTCACGGGCAGGACGTCCAGAGTGGGCATCGAAGCCGTGTCGGCTGCGTTGGTGAGCGCAACGGCTGTGGATGTTGACGGCTCCGTCTTTTGCCTCTTGTTGGCGACGTCGTCGTGCGCCTGCCCGTCTGCTTCCTGGGCCAGGGCCGAGGCGAGAAGCTGGCCTGTGATGGTGACGATGCCGAGACCCCGGACGTTCTGCCACTTGAGCTTCTTCACCAGAGGATCGGCTAGCTTCACCACCCAGGCGTTTGTGTCCATGCTGGCGTCCACCCACGTGCCGACTTCTGGTGTAAACACATCGACGGAGCGGTCTCCGTCGGATGCGAGGGCGGCTCGACAATCCGCCGCGAGAGATGTAGTCTCTTCCCGAGTGCCTCCCACGAGGATTAGCTTTCGTGGCTGGATTAGGGGGATCAGCATGTTGAGACTTCGCTTGTCGTGCAGTCCGCTAAAGTCTATCATGGCAATCCGTAGATTAACTGCCACTGTTTCTGAGGTGTACACTAATTTGCATGGGCCGTTAGGTTCCTCCGGTTCGGTATCCTCGACCGAGTCCAATTCGTCCGCGGCAGCCCCATCAGCTAGGTCCATGGCATCGGCATCATCTGCTGAAACTGCTCGGTTCGTGTTGGGGCGTTTGTTGGCACCGGCTGCCTGCTTAGCGACATCATCCCACTTGCGCTTCTTGCCAAGCTTGTCATCTTCTGCAGCGATTTGGGCATTGTCAACTGCGTCGTCTTCCTTTTCTTCTGCTCGTAGATAATCTTCTGGGCGAATCAGCTCGCCAAAGTCGTCGTTCCTCTTCCTTCTGATGGCCATGGGGAATGATCGTTCTCTGCCCCTTTTACCACGTGTGTCAAAGTCGAAGACAGTCTTTTTCTTGATCAAAATATTGATACCAAGGTCCTCATCTTTGAGAACCACATTCTTACGCCCTGCCTGGCCCATTGTAGCAGACACATTAAGAGCCTTGCCTTGCTGTTCACCTTCGTCTTCAGAGTCAGATGATGATTCGGATGATGCATCATCGACGACATCAGCAGATGCTTCTAGCGCACCTGCTCCACCGGCCTGCTGAGTTGCCTGTAGCTGTCTCTGAGTTGCCAACCATTGCTGATAGATGGCGAGATCGTCCCCTTCCAGAGGTTCACGGCGAGCTTCACGAACTTCTAATTCACGACCGCCGCTGTAGACCATCTCCAGACTATCTCCGCTGCTGGCCTGCTCTGTAGAAATACCATCTCTTCTTTCTCTCCACCATTCCCACAATGTTCTGGAAATGGAGGGAGCATCATCCTTGGCTAAATTGGGTCGCTCTGTTAAGATGACCAGATTTCGAGAGTCCTTGGCCAGACCCTTTACCAAATCCTTGGAGAATCCCCAATCCATGCTAACATCACTGGCCAGGATCACACGTCCCTGTGTTTCCCCATTCTCAATATTTTGACTCAGAAGCTTTGTGATTTGAGCTTTTCGCTCCAGCAGTCGCAAGTACTTGAAATCAAATGGAGCTCCCTCCTTCTTCTCACTGCCACCATTGACCTTCCGCTGCCCTTCTGCAAAGGCTTCAAACTCCTGGACAATATTGTTGTCCATCCACTCCAGCATGCTACGTGCGTATCTCATGGTGCTCGAGACATTTCGGCCTGCTAGGTATAGCTTTGAATACTTAAGAACGCCATCCTTGTTTGCAGCATCAGTCCTCCAGGCATACTCGAGGAGATAGGAGATCTCCAAGACTCTGGCGCTTGAGTCTACGGGGATGAGAACCGTGCCGCCTCGACTAACACACGTTTTGATCATTTCGATCAACTGTTCGTCTCGCTTGGCACGACCGCCGGCCTGTGCGTTCTTGTCTGCACCGCGAGAGCTGCAAATCAGAGCTGTAGGCTTGCGCAACTGCTCAATGACTTCTGCACCGCCACCTCCGGCACCACCAAGCCAAGCTGCTCCAGCAAATACATTCTCACGTGCTTGGTTCCAGTCGACTGCATAAACAATAGATTCCAGTCCGTGCTGGATGTGCCATATCGTGCCACCAAGGGTGTGGCCAGAGTTGTACGCGGTAATGGTCAGTCCATTTAGCGGAGGAGAAAAAGGCGAGGATAGAGGTTGGTGGGGTTGTGAGTATTTGAGCGGCTGGATGAGAGAGAAGTATCGAGCAATTTCTTCGGGTGTAGGGGACTGTAGAAGCAGGTTCTGAGCTGTCGTAACGGTTTGTGAGTATGCATATGTCGTCTCGGAGAGCGAGCTCTGGCGAATCGTCGTGGCGGCCGCGGGAGTAGAAGAGTAGAGGTCTTGAGTGAGCGTTCGGCCGAGATCGATGACGGGTCGGGTCGCATAGACGGGGATGCGTGTGAAGAGAGCTATGTTCTTGCAGCAGTGGGCATATGCGGCAAGATGCGACACCGTGGCATGTGTGAGGAGAATCAGCGAGAGGGTGGGAACCTGTCTAGAAGCTTCATGTCAGCTCTTCTTGCTCAATTGACTCTGTTTCGACGAGTTCCGCCTCTTGTGAGAGGAATCTCTGAATGGAGCGTCCGCGCCTACTTTTCTAGCTCCTCGAGCTTATCGCTACTAAACGACTCGTCCCATCCCAGATCAACAAGCACCTTAACCCCTCCATCGAGCTCCAAGAGAGATTGCGACGCGAACGACTCCGAGAGAGCGCCCTGGAGCGGGCAGAAAGTGAACATGATGGATCTGCCGCCGCGATCGCAATGATTTAGTCGAGTCTTTTCTGCAGCATGATTCGTCTGATGCCGTGTTGAGAGTCACCCAAAGTCGAAATGCAAATGCCTGTAATCGTCTGGAAATGCTGGGCAAGTTTACAGGGCGAATCGCGTCGCCATATTATTTGATGCAATTCTCTGGCGTGGAATTGACATGATGGACAGGGGTCAGATGGGATCACGGGATCGGGGATACTTTGATCCTTGACTAGAATGACGACTGCAGACTTCCTTTTTGGGCAATTTTTGGCATTGGATTCCCACACGTACAAATGCAGCGGCGGATGAGTTGCAACAGGCCGTCTCAATTCGTAGTAGATTGGCATACGCAGGGACAAGTTTTATCAATTCTACTGTGAATGATCTAATACAGGTCGTCCAACATTAAAAACGGTTGGCTGGATCACTAGGAGGTGATCGTGACTCTTCACAAGCTGATTTGATGAGTCGCAGTCGTTGACGTTGGCCTATACAGACGAGGGTATTGATTGATAGATTCATAGGCTAACAAAGGCTTTTCTGCAGTCAAATTTAAGGTTTTGGGGGTGCTACTATAAATTATATCAAGTATAAAGCGTAAAACGGTAGAGAGACTTACAGAAATACATTACAGCTGGACTTTACATTATAGTTGGTTGCCTGTATGCTGAAAAACATATAAAAAAGACAAAAAATCCTCAAAACCTGGAGAATATTCTTTATACATGAGTTAAAGTCTATAATAGCATGCGAAGAACAACCTTTCATTTGATAAGTGAAGATACCTTCGTTTCCCTCTCCGGATTTACCACGACGGAGTTCAATGTGGCTACGAAACAGATTACAAGTAGATCCCTTGACTGTTTGCTACTATCGTTACTTTCTTCTAGTTTCCGCTATTATATCTATATACCTCTAGTATCTGGTAATATTGCTAGCTTTAAACTTGCAAACTCACCAAACGGACAAGCCACTGAGTATCTCTCAAAGGAAAAGTGACATTTCCCCAAACTCAATTCGTAGAGTGTTGTGGCCATGGTAAAATTTCCCCAAAGGGATTCCTATATAAACACAGACTGCCCCCCCCCCCCCCTTCTATTTTGTTCCCATTTATATTTTGTACCATACACCCTTCAAGTCGTCAGCATCAACAAAATCACCGCCATGTCTCTCACCCGGTTACTGCGCGGTCTCAAAATCCGCCATATTAGACCCAAGCAGAATCCGTCCTGCCATATCCTGAATCTCCCTAGAGATATTCTTATTTTGATCCTTAAGAATCTTCCATAGTATCAACAAATAATCCCCTCTCAAACGTGTTATCTATTACGCTGCATTATCCTAAATTACAACAAAGCCCACAAGGGTATTGATAACCTTCATCTATCCGCCAACCTCAACCAGCATCAGCGCTTGGAGTATCTTTTTGCCCTAGCCCGCAGTCGACCCAAAGTCTGGGCCTGTCATAGATGCAGTAAACTCCATCACAGAAGAAAACGTGGTATTCCGATGAATCAAGAGTCACTATGTGATCTTCATTGTCAAAAAAAGAGCGATTATTATACGCAGGGTGTATATAAGGCCTGCTATGGACATATCCAATTCGCCTTGAAGTATTCCCGATTGCAGATCGAGAACAGAAACAGCGTATCTCAATTGAAGAAGTCCGATAAATGGTATCTCGACAATATAATGAAGCCGTTCTCAGCACCAATTCGCCCACATGAAGGCGGCATGTCAGATAAGATTAAAGGAAGACTACATGTCTTCCCAAAGATCATCGACGGGCGATTTCTCATTCATTCGGTCTGGACATTCACTAAAGACATCGGAAATGTCTCTCGTCAATCTATAGGGCAGTTCCGCATATGTCAACATCAAATTTGGGATCCTTCGGGTTATTCAAACTCAACGTTGTTGAATATCCAGGCCTATGCTTTCCGTCTCGGACGTGAGGTCCATCATTCATGCGACTTTTGCGAAACGGATTTTTCTATCCAGGCCTCTTCTGAAGTCACTGTGGTTCGTGTATGGCAAAATCTTGGGTCGGAGGTCACTTACTCGAAGAATCAGTCGTGGCATTGGCAGGCAGACTTTTGCCGCCGTGACTTGGTTCATTCTAAGCACGGAAGGATTAGGGAATTATACGGCCAGGACACGGTCTGAGGGCACTCTTTAAACGAATCATTCATAGGAATAGTAGATTAGTTGAATATGAGAAATTATTAGTTATTTATTGGGCGCCAAAGTAGTGCACATATCCGTCTGCCTTGGACGTGGGGAGCTCTATTATCGCGGAAGTCGTCATCGCAAACGCTTCGCCGTCCCTTATTTTCGGAAGACAAACCATGCTGCGCGTGTATAACATGCGAGGATCGTCGCACCCTTCTGGCGGATCATCAAACTCGAGGGTTGGAAACTTTGCCTCTCCCTTTTCCCGTGCCCATTTCGTCTCCCATATTTTCCTCATGTGCGCTTTCCACTCTGGGGACGTATCTTTTTCCGTATCCTCTTCCTCTTCAATAGAGGTATAAAACATGCGAGACATCACAACAACACTGGCGTCAGGGTTTCGCTCTTTTAGACGTGTCTCGAGATCCTGGCGTTCGGAGCCAGGTGAAAGTTGACGCAGAGCTTTACACCGATCTTGGTCAAAATCGTAGAGGTAGAGAACTTGAAACGTTCCAAATGAAGTGTGCGGAGCGTGATATCCATGGTAGTTGTCTTCATCGTGTTCATATTCCTCGATGTGTTCCCGCACGAGTAATTTGTTCCCGACTAGGCTTGGGAGTCGATCGAATAACTCGCCGTACAGCGTTCGTGCGTTGACCTTGTCAGAAAACACATGAAAGAGATCTTTGAAAAGATCTTTGTCCATGAAATACCCGGGCGTCGGTTGCGCCTCGGACTGCGCATTGTTGTCAGCTATAACGCACCCTTTGAGCAAAGTAGTTTAACTTACCGGGATTTCGCCAGTGAGTAAACCCACGTCTGCAACTGTGAAACGACTCCCGTGTTGGTGATGATGAACAACGACATCATTGTGGGCAGAGCTTCCTGGAATTGCTATTGCATCATGGTTATTTCCATACTCGAAGTTCTCATGTTGATGGAATAATCGGCCCTTGTTCTGCTCTGAGGGTGTTATTGGGATTGACCTAAGGAGAGAATATGGTCTGTCATGCGATGGATCAAGGTGGCCACCGAGAGCAATATACGAAGGTGTAGCAAATTGAAAATTTCCCCGGTGCTTTGAAGACAGTAAGTAATTGTGGTGGGAAGCGACGCCTTGGAATTGCTTACACACTGAGGCGCACGCTCATCTTGAGGTATGTCTATTCTTGTTAAGTTTCCGGATTCGGTATCCCAGATTGCAATCTGATTTGATTTGCCAAGGCAATTCCAACGCTTGGACGGGTCTTCTGAACCATCGTATACGCAGATGGCTACAGATGAACCGTGAAGGGCAATCTCTCCATCGGTAGCCTCTGCAGACAATATTCTTTCTTTGCTGACGCTGCCAATCGGGTCGTGAGTGCGTAGTATTAATTTACTCTCGCTAAATATCGTCTCAGTAAGATATTCTTCATAGACTGTTCTTGACGTTAATGGTTATATGTATTCACCCTTTTCTGAATTCTGCAGTGACAAACCCCGCTTGGTTGCCTAGTAGCTTTGAGCTTGTGGCATGGTATGGCAACTCCACGATCCGTTTAAACTCGACTACGTCGTCTCCTGTTTCCAAGCTGGCGTTGATGTCGGCTATAAATATCAGAGATGGAGATGTCACGCTGTTCGCCGACGGTAAAGTCAACATGATTTGGTCGTCCATGACGCTCCATTGCGCGTAATACTCCATATTTGTTGACGAGAGTTCTGCAGGCCGGCGCAAGTTGAGAACTCGCTGCGGCCGGCCGCTAAGCCAACTCATACGCGCTTCGTCTTCCATTCTATAAGATGATGTGTTGGATTAGACGTAAGTTCACTCAACCTCGCAAATTGAAGTGAGTTGAAGAAGTGAAAGAATTATCGCTGCTTAGTTGCTTAGCGCAGTTTAGCTGGACAAGGTAGAGAGAGTTTTTGAGGGTCAGATGGAACACGAACCCGACGTTAGCGCTCACCGCTCGGTGAACGAACTTGTTTGAGGAAGCCAGCTTCAGGGAATCATATTTAAGAGTACTTGCTGAAATGTTCGAGATCATATATGATTGAAGAATGTGTCTGTCGCCTCTCCTACGAGAGAATTCAGAGATAAAACAAGAAGGGGACTAGCTACATATCCAACACTCAAACGGCTACACAAGGTTCAAATGTCAGAATAAAGTATATCTTTGCTACTCTTACTACTTTCTGCTACTATGGACACTCTTTCTAGTAGCTTTTACTAGAACTAGATCTATCTAGTATCTGTTAAATTTTACTATACGGCTTGAAATTCTAGAACATGTTGTCAGATAGTAAACCTTAGGTGCTGAATAGCTACTCCCTTTATTTATCTTAAAACTCCTCTTTTAGAACCAAGTATTTCACTTATGTCAAGTCAAGCAACTGCTTGTCAAATGGAGCTTGCCTTGCCACTGTTTTAATGTGAGTTGAGGCAGTTCCGAAATTGGTGGTGCACTTGCAGCCCACTAGTACAAGCATGGCACAGGCGGGAGACGAATGAATGCGCCTTGCCAGTATTTGCACCAGAGACGCATACCAATCAGCGTTCGTTGCTGAGAACCAACAAGTCATGATCACAGACCGCATATACGACTAAGCACCCATTCCGTTTCACTGAACGCCGTCATCTTTTTGTATCTCGCAAAGCATTTATGCTGGCAACTAGTACCTAACGATTCCTGCAACTACTAACATAGTATCGTTACTTCTGTCTTCAAATAACGCTATGAAGACAGCGTCAAGTAAGTAGGCCGATCCCATGTCAGAAGCGACCTAACGTAGAAGTAGCCATGTCAGCCGATGAGCCATCGATTTCCGGCGAACTTGTTCTGCCTCCCGATAGCTGTATCATCGACGGCAAAGGCGAGTTCGTGGCTTCTGGCGTGACTTCACTCGTGGAGCTCTTCCCAAACGGCGATATTATAAAGACACCTCGGGACAATCCCTTCCGGTATTGCGTCCAAGACCTAAGCACAGAGGCTAGAATCTATCAGATGTTAGGCGAACACCCGCGCCTAGTGAAGATTCGAAATTGGGACTCTACGGAACATACAATGGTAATGGAGTACATGCCACATGGCACGCTGAAGCAGTACATCAAAACCCATTATGAGGATGTTTCACGACCTCTGCAGCTCCAATGGGCTCGACAGGCAGCCGAAGGCCTGCAACTCCTCCATGCATTCGACATTCTTCACTGCGATGTTGGTCCACATAATTTCCTGTTGGACGCATCACTCAATTTAAAGATTGCTGACTTCGGTGGTTCATCGATAAACGGTTCCTATGCCTCGGTCTGCCCTGGATCCCGGTACCGAGCTCCCGATCCGGAGTGGCGCCCAGGCAAGCCTCCAAGCTCAAACGAAGACTTATTTGCTCTTGGCTCTGTATTGTACTTTATATTCACCGGCAAGGTACCATTTAGCGAGCTTGAGGAGGATGAAGTTGCAAGCCAATACAAAGCTGAGGTGTTTCCTGATTTATCAGAGGTGTTGTGCTCTGATATCATCACTCTGTGCTGGCAGCAGCGCGCTGGTTCCGCTCGCCAGATATATGAGACAATTAGCCGACTTTGTGTCACGGGAAATGTATAGCCTTAATGCTGTAACCAAGCCTGCAGTGTATCGTTGATAAAGATTCAAAGTTAGCCAATCACCTTTCATTTATTGGAGCGCCTTATGCCGGTCTATGGCGGATGTTATGTCTTTTCTGGTCAATCGCTCAACTCTTGCTTCAATGCCGTCATATGTATCTTAGTTTTCTGTTCACAAATGTCATATCTGCTATTGGCTTTCCTTAAAATGGCCGTGGGCAAAATCCCAAACGCCATGACAGCTAGTATCAACAAATCTACAGCATTCTCCTTGGAGAAATTCCAAGGTATCTTTTGGGTAAGTCAGAAGATGCAAATCCAGATAGTAGTTCTCTGGATACTTGGCAGGCAACTTACTTTTCACTATACACATAGCCACAAGCCCCAGGAATACAATGAGCATGTGCGGAGAATTTTTTGATACGGAATTACCGACATTTGATACTTCCGATACTTCACTACTGATATGGATAAGATGGATTTAAAAGTGACAAGTACATGCGTGAATTGTTATTTACCGACACTGGGGATTTACCGACACTGGGGATTTACCGACACTGAGGATACTGCAGATCCTTCTTCGCCCTTCGGCCATGAGAACGTTACATAAGTTGGAAGGCCACAAGTGCGCCACATATCATTATAATTCTCCGTTTAATCGTATAGCTGGCCAGTGCAATAATGGGCTTCATTAGTCTTAACTTTAAGACTACACTGGGCTTAAGCCATATACAACATTCTCCAACCGGATTGATCATATGCGGCTGCCGTAGTTCGCTAAGCCCCGTGGGGATTTAGTGACAATCTTGTGGCCTGAATGTTCATGCCTCTTCATGTTTCATGCACATTAGTTGGCAATTCGCTTGATCATTGCCAATCGGTGGACTCCGCCCTTCGATCGCTGGCACTTCTACCGACTAGGATCAAGAATCCCCAAGGCTGAGCATTTAGAGTCTCCGCTGGAAGACTCCGGAGAGGCCAGCCACATATATTATGTAAACTCCAACGACATCGACTCTAAGATACATTAAAGAAAGCCAGAGCTACGCTAATCGGTAGAGCTGAATTGAACAAGAACGGTGCCCAAGCCAGTCTTGCCACATGTCAGTTCCTACATATTGGGGTTCTAGGCCGTTAATTACAGACCACTGCCGTAGTTTCTGTAGACTTTCCCGTTAGGTATTCTTTCATCGCTTTTGCCAACATTTTCATCACTTACGATGCATTTGGACGCCCGATTTCGGGCTGTCTGTGCTTCAGGTTTCTTAATTTTGAGACGATGAACGCACGACGCAGCCCCCGACAACGACAATATGGCCGGGTTTAGTTCCGGCGTAGATCACACATCACTTGTGTTTCAAATCCTCATACCCGTCTTCTTCTCTCTCGCCCTGTACAACGTCATCGAACTTACGTTTCTTATCTTTCATACCTTCAAGCGGCACTCGGGTCTTTATTTTTGGTCATGCGTATTTGCCACTGGGGGTCTTGTCTTTCAGTCTGCTGGTTTCTTCATATTGTATTATGCATCTCCATCGGTGGCATATCTGGCGGTGACGATATCGCTTTTAGGATGGATACCAATGGTGACGGGCCAGTCCTTGGTGCTATGGTCTCGATTACACCTCATTTTACACAACCGACGGCGTCTAAGGATGATCTTATGGATGATTATTATCAACGCCATACTATGGACTGGAGGAATCACTCCAATGATATACGGTTCCGTTGCCAATCCAGAGCTATTCCACACACCTTTTCAAGTCATGGAGAGGATCGAGGTCACCGTTTTCTTTGTCCAGGAACTGATCATATCTGGAGTATATATCTTCGAAACTCTCAAGCTCATGAGAGTACAGCAATCTCTGGGGATCAGTCAATACGGCCGCTCTCTCATGAAACATCTAATTATTGTCAATATTATCATCATCGTCCTCGACGGCACCATTATTGCTCTGGAATATGCAAATCAATGGGAATATCAAACTGCCTATAAGACATTCGCGTATAGCGCGAAACTAAAGCTGGAATTCACGATCCTTAACCGTTTGGTCGACATGACAAAACGAACCAAGGAAGCCCGCGCTCCGCCACAGGAACCAAGTTCAACAACACGAACGATAAGTCAAACCGGATCTTCTATTGCGCAGAAAAGCTTGATCCAAGCCCCAGGCGAAGCGCAGCCGTGTGATGTCTCTTTTCGGGCAACTGCTACGGCAGAGAAGGACGCGCCTTTAGGAGGGGATCGGCCATCTACGCCGGACCAGGGTGTGCTTTGTACCACTGAGGTTGTTGTTCGGCGAGAAGATCGTTGCGCTGGGCCAGACACGTGCACACACGTACAGACTCTTACCCCAGGTGGTTTTAGTCAATAGCACAACTACAGTTAATAATATATTACACGCCTACTTTCAAGTTCTCTCAATTTCCCAAGTCCATATGATATGAGCATTTATTTGCTTGCCCTGTTCCTCCGTGTGATTTCATCCTATAGTTTCTCAATTCTCGACGGTTTAGTAATATGAAACAGCTCAACAACCGCAAGCCACTACAATTCCAGAGTCGTAGCGAGACGCACCTTGTATCTACCAGTTTTTCTGCTTTCTAAATTCTTCTTATATTTTGTATCAGCATTGTGTTGATATCTGGTAGTAAATAAGCTGACTCTTTGATATTATTTTATAGTTTATGATGCGGGAAGCTGGACACTCAACTTGAGTTGTTGGTCATCCTCGCTGAGCAGTGCAATGGCTTACTCAAATTGAGGGTCATGATTTTGTCCCACAGTTTGTTTATTCATGAAGAGCTCAATTTATTCTACCTATTGCTCTTGAACTCTACTCAAGTCACAGCTCAAGTGCCAAGGCTGAGGCTGAGGCTGAAAGCTGAGAATCCGGCGACTTTCTCGGTTACACAAATTCGAGAAAAGCAATGAAGATCATCCATGAAATACGAGTCACGCGGCATCAACAAGCAGGGGTTTCATTAGTGGCCTGGGCCAATAGCAACAATTAGATAGTTGTCATTTCCCCCAGCTGAAAAGTGTCACCTGCAATGAGACAAGGCTGAACGTCCTGTGATACATAGACACGTCTACCGCCCCGAAAATATCGCCATAAGCATGAACGTGGTATGAAATATCGATACACGGCGAAGATACATTCAGCTAATGACTGCGTTCGCTCACACTCGCATGCTAAGCATCAACTACGCGGTATAAATCACCCACTATGGACAGAGCCTCATATACTCAAGGTTTATGCATATTAGAACGATACTAATAGTCATTCAATATTGTTAGCCATTGTTCCTATGAATTTTTTGAGTTTCAATCGCACAAGTATGCCGATTAATATGCGGCGACTTTCTCATTGGAGGTCGGATATGCATGTCTCAGTCCACACCCTGGCGTATTGATCGTCCAACAAGGCGAGATGTGTCTTGGTGTGATACCCTTCGTTCGGTGACTGTGTAAATAAGTTGACACATCGTATAGGTAAATTATGCCAATCCAAGCCACGCCTGAATGATCGGAGAAAATGAGGAGAAGCTACTTGTTGTCAGGTTACAGGGTTTTGGTCGCACTTCAAGTGTCAATGTGCACGATATTGTTTTCTAGTTATAAATACCGAGCGTTTGGCATTGATCAGAATCCAAGCAGATCATCAGCAGTCCTCAGTCATATCTTCTATTAGGAATTACACACTTGTTATCTTTCGATATACATCATTGATACACTTTCTCCCTTTCTCCTTCTAGCTCATCATTTAATCTTTCTCTCCTAGAAGGACTAGCTGAAAGACCAAAACGATTACTTTTAGACCAAATCGTACGCTTCCTGAGGCACCTGGCGTGTTTGTCAACGCCTCAAATGTCAGATCTACCATGGAAATCATCTGGAGCTGTATCGGAATAATTATTCTCTCAACATGGTCTATCCTTAATCCCAACATTCCGCCTGACTTTCGAAAACAGGCCAAATGGCAACTCTATTTACAGAAATTATATTCAATTGCTCGAAAGGCTCTGTGGATGATTGTCATGTTTGTTGCTCCTGAAGCCTTGACTTCTCTATATGCCCACAAGATGTTCAGTGCACATCATAACGATGCAATTCTTAAAGAGTCTTCCTATTTACACCGTAACATATTCCTATTTGAACCGTAATACTCTACATCATAAGCTAAGTTCACCCTTAAATCGCAATTGCCACACCTATATAGCAAAATACAGTGCAACACACTAGGAAAAGATATTTAATAAAATCCTATATAAGTCCAGCAGCTATTAATTAGTTTAATTTGTTTGGATTGCATTTCTAGCCCTTCTAACTTAATGTAAATACTTCTCCTGGGCCGGCGAGTTCATTAAGCTTATCAGCGCCTAGTTAGGTAGCTAGGATAACTTTAATAACTTTCTTAGTCTTGGTCTTAGGGTTAGTCTTAAGTACGGCAGTAATTATTACGGTTAGCTTTACTGTAGAAGAGGCTGTTGTAGATCTTTAGGATTTTTTTTTTGTAGTTTTTGTAGCTTGCGAATTTGTGTGTAACTAAGAGAGATCCTCGTTAACTATGGCGAAGAAATTACGATATTATAGTCCTGTGTAGTGTTATAAAATAGGTAATACGCCAGGGCGTTGTACTATAATTAGGTGTGGCTTCGTAGGAATGATGGTGTGTATGCATTAACTTTAGTACTGGCACGGGCCACTACGGTTTAAAGAGCAATATGTTACGGTGCAAATAGGAAGACTCTTCTTAAAGGCTTAGCATATAGTCAGGAAGTCCCATGGAGCCGCACACATACGCTATTTGCAGATATGGGAGGTTTCGCTGTATAATTCTCAGACAAAGAGTTTCATCCGCCATATAAGGAAGAACCGTCCAAGGAAAACTTATGGAAACGTCTTAAATCCCTATATCAGGAAACCCCCTCCAAACTGAAGTTTCTTGAGAAGTTATTGGAAAAGCTGTTGGAAAAGTTGCGGGAAAAGTTATTGAAACGTCCATTAAAACTTTTCGAAGAATTTAGATCGGAAGTTTCCGAGAGACTGAAAGCAGAAGACATTCTCGAACTATTCAAACGGCCGAACAAAAGAAACCGCAATTTTATTAAACGTTTTGAGCTTAAGCAAAGTTTTTTTTTTGGCTGGTTTGGAGACTTTCTTTGGAAAAGGCACCTCAAACATGAAAAAATCGCCAGTGGCATCAAAGATGAACTGGAAAGGAGCCAGATTACACATGGGAAGCTGCAAACCCTCGCGGCATTGTCTGGGGACATATGGGTGTTAGACTCGGCACAACTCATCGTTGCAGTGAAAGAGGGAATTATCGAGCTCCCTAAAAGTAAATCCGACGCACTGGTCAAGACCTTGGCTATTATGCAAGTTTTATGGCTCACCATCCAGCTTGCTGCCCGGAGATATTATGGTTTGGCCTCTGCACCTTTTGAAATCAGCACAGTTGCCCTGTCGGCTTCTACAATTATTTTATATGTCCTGGAGTGGAACAAGCCAAAAGACGTCAGTGTGCCCATCTACCTTCGTGCAAATAAAGTTCTATCTCCACTAAGAAAGACTACCCCTCAAGAAACAACTACTCCTCAAGAAACGACTATCTCTCAAGAAAAGACTACTCCTCAAAAAAAGACTGTCTCTCAAGAAAAGACTACTCCTCAAGAGACAACTATTTCTCAAGAAAAGACTACTCCTAAAGACCCTTTCGAAGAAGCTTTCAAGAAAGTCTTCGAGGCAGCTCCTTATCCATATCTACGATTTCCCATCATACCAACCAAGCTTTATCATATCCCTAGCTGCGCTTTTCACGTTGCCTATTCAAACGACGATGGTAACGGCAACAATGGCAACAGCAGCAATGGCAGCAACAGTGTTTGGGTGAAAACGGCTATTATTACAGTTGTTTCTATTCTCTCATTTGGGGGCATCCACATCTTTGCATGGAATTTCTTCTTCCCAACTAAAATCGAGCAACAACTATGGAGGGTCTGCTCGGTGGCAGCTACAGTTTTGCCATTACCATACCTTGCCACCCACTATTCCTTTATGAAACACGGAGCAGACGTTGGGAAGACAAGACTACGGCAAATCAGGACAATCCAAGGAGTCTTGGCTCTCTTTTATGTTCTTGCACGGCTGTTTCTTATTATTGAGAGCTTGAGGTCACTTTACTATTTACCACGCTATGCCTTTGAATCTACATGGAGTGTGAATTTCCCACACTGGGGATAAGTAGCAAAATACTGCATAATGGTATATATTCATTCGCCACTGACCGGTTCCGTTTCCACCGTTTGACTCTCAACAATACCCCGCACTCACAGATTTAGCAAAATCTCGTCAATTGTAATCGCATCTGCACGTTGGCGGAGAAGAGCTCGAAACATCTTAGTCAGGCAAGGATTACTGTAGTTGAAAAGCTCCTGAAGAGATAGAATGCACTTATGCACATGAAAGTAGATATATTCATAAGTTACAATATGTAGAAATCCCAGAGTGGTATATCTACTACACACTTAGTTGTGCCATGGATACGCCAGAAGCCTATCCTCTGCAATCACATCTAAAACTCGCGGCTTGTCACAGACTCAGTATCAATTCAATAATTAATTGACTGATTACTTAGACGTCTCATCCAGTCAAGATATCTATCTAGGTGCCAAGTCTACTATCATTTGCATATACGACTCGAGAGTTCGGAAGAGGCACTTTGGTCTCAAATCCTTATTAGATCTTCCATCCTATCCCATCCCATACCCAGCAAATTTGGCATAGATTTCAGGCTTGTAATGAGCGATTACCGTTTCTCACTATCAAGAGTTTCCCATTGTATTCATTTTATATCTAATTTTTAATATATCTATACTAATCCAAATATATAAGACAGGAGCGGAGAAATGCAACACAAAAGCCAGGTTATGGTCTTTGCCATACTACTTATATCCCAGAAGCCTCCTGCCAAAGCCGAAGAGTAAAACGAATTTTCCGATGACGCGGCCAAAGATGAGAGGCAACCCAAACCGATACCAAGTGATCGGCCGCCATAGTTTGGCTTCTGGCAGTATTATCTTGTTGTCTTTCTCTCTCCTCGCCGCTGCGTCTTCCACTGGCTTCCCAATAAACGATTCGATAGCCTCAATCATGATCTTAACAGTCTCCTGCGGTTGGCTCAAAAAAGGCGAATGACTTGTCTGCAGCTCCCTATGCATAACAGATGCACCCATACTCCTCGCCATGCCTACATTCATGCGTTGTACTACCACCGGAAGCCCTTGGTCCTCAATGGTGCCAATATAACAGGAAGGCACATCCCTCCATCCAGCATAAGAGTATTCGCCCCCCTCAAACAACGCCTTGAGGCTCTGTGGAGTGAGCAATGAGACCCAGTACTTTGCCTCATCTTCTGGCACGTCATGATAGAAAAACTTTCGTGGAGAAACAACGATGTCGGCGAATCCAGTCTCTTTATTTACGCGCCACTGGGGGGGAGGATGTCCGAAGAAGGGGTCCATGAAGGCAAGCCCCGTGAAGGTATAGCCGGACGCTATGAGAATAAGGCCAACGACGTAACCGGTAGTTGTACGTTGGGCATTTTTCGCAATCGTTCCTCGGGGTCGGGCAAAGTCTTTGATAGCACTGTTTCCAACCATACCACCGTATGAGTGGGCGACAACTACCACATCGCGCCCACAACTTGTTTCGTCGGAAATTGCTTTGCGTGCGGCGTCAAGGTCGTCTTTGAAGGTCCGGGTTGGATCACCGGTTGTCGAAGGGAGCGTGACAGCGACGCATTTCAGCTTGTACTTCTCTTGTAGGGGTTTGATGATCAAATTGTAGCAAGCAGGCGAATGCCATGCACCAGGAACAAAGACTAGCGTTGGAAAGTTGGACATTTCAGAGCACAACTAATTGCTTGTGACGACTCTTATCCTCAAATAGAAACAAAAGGAAAAAAGAGTTGCAAAACTATGTCAGTCAGTGTGTCTTAGAGCCTGAGGCATATGAGTATACAAAATAATTAATTGCCCCTTGACTCGGTCTTCGGTAGCCAACTAACTGCGTAGCGCAACTAGTTGGCTACCGAAGACCGAGCAAATTGGCGGGCTTACCTGCGTGTGGTTATAACCGACACTCACTACCCACTAATTTGGAAAGCCATAAAACGCTCTAAATGCCTCCCATTGGTGGAGTATCATCTTCTTAAATTAACTAGAGAATTATACGAGCATATTCAGTTCTTGCCCAGGATGATTGAACGATACCACAATTCTACAGATCCTTGAGTAGCTATTCAGCAACATTGAGAAACTGCTTTGTAATCACTGATAAAGGTTGGCCAACGTAGAACCACCCCCTTCAAACTGATTTACAGCGCCCTCCCTGCCAAAGCCAAATTGATGGTACGGAAAATCCCGGCCTACTAAACATTGTATAAGTATTGCTCAAGCCACTGCAGAATTCTTTCATCGGCCGTCGTTTATCTAGTGGACACCCTCTGAATTCTAAGAATATCTTGCGGTATAGGATCCAGCAAACCTGCAGCCGATCAACCGTCTCCCTTCAGCGAAAACACCACCTTGACTGTTCATCCACTCTGCGGTCAAAATGGTATTGTTTCATCTGACGAAATTAAAGCTCTTCGAATCCGTTTTCATACTTTTCCCCGTCTTTTTATAGCTCGGGATCGGGCTGTAACAGCTTACCGATATAGCCCATCTTACCAAAGAGTTACGAAAGAACCGCATAATTGGTGGAAATGGAGATAGTGCAGCATTGCAGATAACGTCACATTCAATGGGGGGGGGCCTTCTAACACATGAATGGACAGTCTTCGCTAAATCAGCATGCCAAGTTAGCTATTCAGCATCCCATATCTTGAATTCGTAGCTACCGAAGTAGTGACAACTGCAGATGTTAGAGGAATAGAGCGACAGTAGCAAAAGAGTCAATAGTAGCATAATGTACTGATAGTAGCGGATACTCAAGGAATCGAGCATCTAGGTACACAAGGATGGTAAATAAAGGTCTTACCTCTGCAGCTCGTCATGGTAACTAAACTCCACATAGCAGCCGGGATGCTGGATAGCCAATTTGGCGGGCTGAAGAGCCACTTCCACTAAGAACAATGACTATGTAGTACCAATAGCTTGCGATGCCCGAGCTCCTGGAACAGAGCCTAGACGAAGGCCAACTTAGCATGGTGTTTGTTTCATATAGTTCTCTCCCTGGCCGCTCGGCTGTGAAGCTGGACGAAAGAATTTTTGGAACTTTGAGACCAATATCTGCTATATGCTCGGCAGGCATCGCAGCCAGGGCAGCAACAACCAGTTCAACTGCCGTGATACTTGGGGGATGTCTAGTGCCCAGACGATGCAGTAAGCTGTATTGGCGGCCGCAGAAGCTCCTGCGATTAAATGAGCAGTATATAAATAGAAGGGTGCCACTAGTTGAGGCTGACTAAAGGAGTAATATAGCGGAAAATACTCGGGACCCAAGAGTAATCAAGAAGTCATCTCGATCCTAGTCTTTGTTTAAGAGTGAAGGGCTCTGTGCAGAAGCTTACATGCGGTTAGCTCGACCCCCGCTTAACGATTCATAGCAGAGCACCCACCAGGGGTGTAAGAAGCAATTTAACCATAAATCAAGCTTCAATCAATTGCTAGCCGCCAGCGGAGACGGAAGCCTGGGGCAACCTCACTTCGTTAGCCAACGGCAGGCGAATCGCTGGTCATGTAGGCGGAGTGGGGAAGATATCAGGCTCGATGAATGAGCTCTTACGGCTTCAGTCCGATGATCATGAGATATGTTGCATCTTGCATCTGCATACTTTTAGTTTTAGCGTGAAACAGCATCACTTGAATGCATTCAGCTTGCTGGTCGAGCAAGTACTGCATTCATTGCTCTCCTGGGTCTTCATACAGTCATTTTTCTTCCCTCCTCGTCCTCCTTTCCCATAGTCTTCTCATATCAATGCATATATTTCATGACCAGGTAACAAAACCACCAGTGGCTTTTCCATAGAGGAATAAAATGAACACTCCACTTCGGAGTGCTTTCCCAATAGACAGTCCAAGCGTGCTACGCTACGCTCTCTTGGGGGCGCTCTCGGCCAAAAATACCAGTCGATGTTCCCAATAAACACCAGATATTCGGTTGTGTGTCCCAATTAGAGAGTTTAATGCGAATTTTTCACGAGGGTGGTTGTTGGGGGAAACGAATTCACATTTACAACTTTCGGCTGCAGTTCAGCCATCGCCCAAGCCTCATCCTCAAGCATTTTGTATGTGAATATGAACAAATAGGTGGTGGTAGGCATGAGACAGCAAATCAGTTTTATTCAGTATTACTTGAACCAGTAATTACACTACGTTCGAGATGAGGCATAGATATTATTCCTTACCGCTCGACTCCTCTATGCTATCTAATTTGTCGTCAAAACAAGTAGACATCTTACAGCAGACAAAACTTATACATTGTCGGTCACAAAGATAACGGAGTCAGCAATTACCCACGTGAATCTCGGCCCTTTGATAACAACCTTCAGTTCACCAAGAGGTTGTGACTCCTTACACTGTATTGACGACGACCTGGTCATGTTGGATGCCTCCTCAGATTACTACTGCCCAGATAATTGGAAGAGAACGAGGTTTCCCATATATACCACGGGATCCTGTTCAGATCGTATCATGTCTCAGTCTAGTTTTATTTCTCTCGTCGAATCGTGCTACACGCCGGGACTGGCAACGTACTTGAACGCGACGGCCGACCAAGACAACAACGGCGCGAGTTTTCAACCTGGTATGTTGTCGCCTAGGCTTATCTATTTTAATTACCAGCCTGGTTTTACAATAACACGCAGCAGCCGCAAGTGTCTAGAACATCTTATACAGAAACTTCCAATTCGTCTTGTCTTACCATAGTTTAGTACTGCTACACCGTCATTTTCTAGTGATCAATTAGCTCATGGCTGGAGTATGAGAGGAGCCTCGTTCTCTGGGACGACTGATGATTCTACCGCTCAAGAGTTTAAGTTATGACAGTCTGACATTTATAATGTTCGCTAATTTTTATATACGTACGAGTTCGTACTCTTGGGTGTATCAGACTCGAGACCGTAGTGGGCGTCGTGCATCAAGAGCGAGCAAATGGATGGTAAAACAGGAGGAGAACATTGTTAATAGCCATGCCGTGTAAAATAAGGGCTTACAAGTCGATATACCATGTTAAAACTCACAAACACTCATAAAGAATACAGAGGACACACGGAAACAGGCTCTTGAATTATACTCCCCATTACATTACGCCACGATATGGGAAGGAGACCGCCAGCCCATATTACCCAGGTCAAGTCCGAAAGCTACCATTTTATCTCTCAGAAGAGAATTACGGTTTAACATGTAAGGCAGTATTGTAGAGCAAGACTATTAGAACAATAAAGTAGAGCTGCTGTCTTCAACTAGCGGCCTTGGGTGAAGCAGTAATGGGTTACCGACCAATGCTGATTTTGCAGTGGCCCAGCGATGTCAATACGTGTAGCTCGAGACTCTCAAGTGGGTTCGATACGCTTCAAACTCTAGACATCTCAAAATGAACCAGAGGAAACAACTTTTTTTTTTTTTTTCGCCAGACGAATGGTCTGCTACTCATCCGAGACGCTACCAAATCGATTCTCATCAAATTTCGACCATAGGTTCCGTCATCTGAAGCGATTAGTAAGTGAGAGCGAAAAAAAGGTCAGCCATATTACAATCATGAAACGCTTCTAAGATGTTTCTAAAATAAACTCATGACCTCGAGAAAGATAAATTGCACCACATGTCCAATCTGGTGTTGAGTTTCCAGCTCCCAGCGTGGCGCACTTCAGCTTTTCCTTATAATGCATATTAATTCACGCTGTTCCCAACGAGCGCTCGAGCTGGATCGGGATCATATGATTTCATACGATTGCCCGGTTAGCTCAATCGGTAGAGCGTGAGACTCTTATGAGCACACGTTCTGATGCAATCTCAAGGTTGCGGGTTCGACCCCCGCATCGGGCTCTTCCTATATACATACCCGAGACATCAAGAGCGCATTTCTTTTTTGCATTTGCATGCACTGCCTTTTACTTCTTTTTATTTTTTCATATTTTTCATCTTTATCCAAAAAGTCTCACTTCTTTGTGTATATGAGTGGAGATATAGTTCCTCTCGTGAACTCTTCCGATGCAGTGGTAACAGAGTGAGAGACTAGCTTCATGTCTACATGAAGAGTGTTGAACCTAGCTTTCGACTATATCCATACTCTCTCAAGTATCACCCTCGAAGCGAGCCGTGACAAGACTATGCTTTAGACGGGAGATTTCAGAACAAGCTCGTGACTTGTTTCTTTTCCTCTGCGCATATCGCGCACATCCAACCGATAACCAACCCATGATCGCTCACTCTCAATCCGATCCCCGGCATTTAGAAACACACTCCAAACCACTTCCCTGTCACATCGTGGCCCTTTTAGCTCCCCAGAGCAATATCGGCAAAAGGCACACAAATCTCTTAGTCAGTGCTACCCAAGTATATCTAAATTTTAATCTTGCCGAGAAAGAATGTAACCATTCCTTCTCCCACGCCACCCATTTCCGTTCGTTTCTCACGAAGCTTATCGATTTTTCCCGGCTTCAAAAAAGAGCATACATAATATGGACAAATGTAATACTCCCCATCCGCATTCTGTTCCCGAAGCAAGCAAGCAAGCAAATAGCTTATTAGCGCCCGGCGGCTCTTCAATCTCTCCGCCATCCTTATTTCATTGCTGTTTTTAAAAAAAAATCAGCTGCGACTCCCCTTGGTGCCAAATTAGACACCCCCCCTTCCTCTTTTTTTTGGGCTCTACTCGGCATTTCCTTGCCGTGGGCTCACACCAGCTTTGGCCTAATGCGGATGGTATCAAATAATCCCAAAATGGGGGGTGACGCGGCCTCTCTTGGAGATAATGAGCATAGTCCACATATTAAACTTCCGCGCAAAAGTAGCACCAGCTGTATTCGTTTCGGTAGTGAGGAATTTCCCCAATTACCTAGGTATCTGTTCTTTGTTCGAGTACGTACAGTGTGTAGTTGATCTGCGACCACTTATGGGGTTTGGAAATGACACCAAACGTTAATTCCACAACTTCTACGGCTCTGTTAGTGTACAACAAGGCGAAAGAAGTAATCCGAATGCGCCGAAATAATAAAAAAAGCATCAATTTAATAATATTGAGGCTATCTTGCTTTAGAAATACCATGACTCCTTTCTTACGAAGTTTTAAAATGTAGTTTTTGGTAGCAATCATTGTGGTACCTAGTCGTAGACTTTTGTCCAACGCACTCAAGACCGTAGTAACTATACTTCGCAGCCGAGTAGCCGTTTACAATTTCAGCCATAAAAGGCAACAGCAAAACCATGCAACAAGGTTAGTTACGGAATAGGGGAATCAGCTTTTTTAGTCCATTGTTATCGGGAACCCAGAAAAAGCGTGGGGAGTGCATGATGCTCGTGGCCGAATGACGGATTACGACATCTGTCGCACCTCTGATATCATACTGTATGACTTCAACTTCCACATCTTTCGTTTCGGGACGAGCTATTCTTAGCAGGTCATTACATACTGTCAAGGTCGAATAGCAGCCAACGGCTAGGTACTCGGCGTTTTGGCAATACCGGCGTTATGTACGATTCTCATACGTACAAGCAAGCACTTAGTTTAGAAGTGACAAGTTGTACCTCACGACACAGATGCTCAATAAACTTAAAGTAAACTTAGAATAGAATGAAATTTCACCATTCAACTAGACTACTTATAAAAATAAGTATAATAAAAAAAGACCAAATCATGTTCGGTCGTTCAAGTCTTTCCTTTTCGCCAAAAAGCCAGAGGTTCCACCGGCTTGTATTCCAGTTCCGACCAAACCAAGCCAACCCAGAGATCCACACAAAGGAAATACGCTCCTATCTGAATTGGAGCGAGTGATATAAGCTTGAAAGCCCAAGAAGTCATTCAGCCAGCTCCTCCAGACGCCAGAACAATGCACCCGATATAAAATACACAAAAAATTCATGACTTGTATAGCCTCCCAAAGCCCTAGACAGTTCTAAATAGAAAAAGAGTCATAAAGAAAGTATGGGAATAGACCAGCTCCGTGCTACTCAGATACAGAACTTGCGATCAAGCATCCTTAGGGCACGAGTATCTTCACTTGCGCCTCCCTTTTCCGCAAGAGCAACGTTTGATGTCCTTGGGCTGCTGTGCGCGCTGCCGTTTGCGCCAGCCTCTGAGTTTGAAGAGGTCGTCGGGTGCAAAAGCACAGACAGGCTAGCCTTGTTGCTGTTCGTGCTGTGGACCTCCAGGTGAGAGCTTTGCGGCGGACTCGAGCTCAGTGTCCGCGTAGGAGGGGTGTGCAGTCCGCTGTGCGCCGGAGCAAGAGGACCATTGGCAATAGCACCCAGAGCTGGAAGAGGCCCTTGGGGCTTCTTGTCGGACATGTTTCGTGAGTCTCCAATAGCAGCTTGCGCGGCAGCCTGCAAGGTCTGTTGGTGAGGAGAATCGTGAATACGGGGCGGCGTCGGTCCCTGTGAATACTGCTGGCTAGGGTACGGAGGTAGTGGAGCAGCAGGCCTTGGGGCGTTTTGCAGAGGCGGCAGGGCAGGGCGCTCGTAAGACGGAGGGCGATCGTAAGGAGCCGGGGCATGTTGGTAGTGATGTGGCGGTGGTGCCGCTGGTGCCGGAGGTGGAGGCGGCGCATACGCATGGTGTGGCGGAGGAGGTCCTTGGGAATGGTATGGAGCCGGGAGATGGTGGCCGGGGGGAGGATGAGAGTAAAGGGCCGGAGCGTAATGGGCATACGGAGGTGTCGCAACTGGCGATGGAGGCCACGCATATCCTGGCTGCGCGTAATGAGTTGCGTATGGCTGGTGAGCAGGGTGAGGAGGGTGATGCTGAGGAGCAATCATGTAGGGCGGCTGCTGCATCGGCGCCCTGGTAAGTGCCGGTGTCTGGTTCGTCTCGCCCATGCTTGACTCAGGATACATGCCCTTGACAGGTACAATTGCTCGCAGATTGGGGTCGGTGGTTGGCTGAGGGAGCTCGGGCTGTCCAGGCTGGGGTCGAGAGTAGTAGGAGATGAGGTGGAGATGCTGGCCAGTCGAAGTTGTTATGCTGAACGACTGCTTCATGAGACCATCTGCCTTGTAACGGTACCCCTCTGGTTCGCCATCGTCGTGATCCTCGTCACTGCCGCGGCCGGATTCTGGTGTCTTGCCATTCCCTCGTCTGCTTCCACCAAAGCCACCGCCTCGCTTGCCCTCCATTTCGCGGTAGGTCAAGAAGCTGCCTGATACTCTGCTAGCGCTCCATGACTTTCCATCAGTCCATCGCCTCATGCCTGCTTCCCGCTCATCCCATACGAAAACTGAACCGGACCGGATGGATTGTCTTTCCTTTTCTGATAGTCGACGCTGAACTCGAGGTAGAAGGCCTAGCCGACAAGCTTCAAACAGCTTGATGGCATCCGCCGGAGTCCGTACGTAGCCATGGTACGTCTCCATCTTCTCCGAAGCCATTGGTTCGGATTTGTACATGTGTAAACGTCCGATGAGGCGGACTAGCTTTATCCCGGATAAGAGAGTTGTAAGAGGGCCGAATCACTCAGACACGGTGGCCTGAAGCGATCTCTCGTCAGCCCGGGAAATGAAGAGATTTTGATATCAAGGGGTGATATCTGCTGTAGAATACAACAGCAAATTGTCGCCAGAAGTGTCGTAGTTGACTAAGCGTTTCAAGTATGTGCTTCAAATACCACTACGGGATAAGGGTTAGTTGATTACGCCAAGAAGGTTTGCAGTTGAGGATACAAGAGCAAGCAATATGGTGCTTTGCAGATGAAAGGGAGGGGTGAGACGGTTGACGCCAAGCTGTCATGCATCAATCTGAGAGGGCCCATCTGCATCATATGTACCCTTTTGACTCAGCTTGAGCTGGCAGGCCCGCAAGACAAAAGTAACACATTGCGTCTGAAGCAGCGGAATGCTTGAATACGCTCAACCTCTTTTCGAATCCAATCGAGCTACCCGTTGGAATACAGTCGCAAATCGACCTCACTCGTCTGATTTGGTGGCGATGCCGCTCGGCGATTTGCAGGACGGAGCACTTGCAACGACCAAAGGATGCATGCGTTTGCGGTTCCATCAAGGCCGAAACTGATGGACAGCTTCCGACATGTGCTGGAGGGTGTTTGTGCGGCCTGAAGTGCATTCCCACAAGGCAGCTTCCCGGGACGCATGCCGAGCTCTGGCGCCCCTCCTCTTATTTTCTGTCTCTCCCTCTCTTTTTTTACTTTTTTTCATTGTTCCCGTCTCTTTTTTTCCCTTCTCACACAGAGCCGTACCAAAGCAGGAGAATGGTTGAGGCGGAAAACACCACAGCACAAAGGGAGCACAGTAACGCCTCAGCATGGGAACACTAGATCCATGCAGGCAGCCTCGGGAAACAAAATCACCAGTGCCATGGAGGCACGCGGATATCGTCGCAAAGGATGGCAAGAAAAGGCAGGAGATGGAAGGACAAGGGAAAACGGCTTACCTGTGGGCGGTGGATATGTATGTACCAGAAGGATAAACAATGTACTCGTAGCCAAGAAAATTCGGAAGAGGCAGCAAGGGGAAGAAGGGAGAAAAGAGGCCGGGCTGCCAGATTTATGAGATTGCCAGTAATCCGAACGGCCGTCGTAGCGGAATCGCAAAAAGAAGAACGAATCTGCACACGGAACAAGGTTAAAACCAACACATATAAGCCACAAAGGTAAAAGGAAGAGGACAAGAAAAGATGGAGGAGGAGAGGGAGAATTAAGGTTGGGCAAGCCAAGTGAACAGGGTGTGGTCATGGATGGATAAATCGGCTCGTTTGACGCAGGGACGTGTGGGGTTTGGCAGCAGGGGGGAGGGGTGCGGTTAGCGGTTCGGTCTCAGGTGAAATGCGCTGAATTTTGGTGAGATTCGGCCGTTTTTAGTGGTGGCTTTTAGCGATGCCCTCCGTAGAGTTATAGCGATTGATGGGTTGAGACTTTTTGGCCACCCAGACGACGGGGCTGAACCGTGCCGGTTGATAGAAACCCGTCTGACTTGCGCCAGGTGGAAGAAGAGATGAGGAAAAGAAGATGCCAAGAGATAAACATAAACGCAAAAAAATAGAGTAAATTTTGAAAGCAAAGAAAGATAGAAAGCAAAAGCCCCAACTTACAAAAAACACACAAGCCGCCTACGTACCCCCTCTCAAAATGCCAAATCAAATCAAATTCAACCGCCAATGATTCGGGATCCCATACGGAACCTCAGTTGCCGTGCTAGCCTCCAGCCTGCGTGCCGAAGCCCCGTTCTGCCTGTTTCGCCCAAAAGCTGTGGCGGCGAGGGTCCGACTTCCGCTATCCAGACCTCTCGCCTGAATGAATCCGCCGGCTCATCTAAAGACCTCGTCCCCGTTTCACAAGGTTTGAGGGCGAAGTTGTACCAAGAAAACAGAAAAGGCCACGCGTTGCGATTCTGTAAACGAAAAGATAAGGGGGGTTTCCTTTCTTTCTACAGGACATGCAGCGGTGGAAAAGTCGGATCAAGCGAGATGGAAACAAACCACCGTCTAATACTCTCTCCACTGTAACTGTACAAGGAACAAGGCAAGGATTTTAAAAAAGAGAGATGGCATCTCATCTCATATCGTGACATTCAAGTCATCCACTTGCAGGCGGATGTCGAAACGGCACCGTAGCCCGTCATGCACAGCCTGGTCATTCGCTAGCCCTGCCATGGAAAAGACGGCATGCCAAAGGAACAAAGGACCAGCGACTAATAGCTCAAGTGGAAGAATAGCCAAGAGGAACCAACACAAAATAAAAATAAAAAAAAGTCCGTGTGGGGTGGACGGAATCGGCGTGGGCGGCCGGGAATAATGCACGGGGTTCAATCGGCCAAGCCAAGAAACCAACCATGGGAAATCCCAACCCTAAAAGGGCACCACAATTTATTTTGCCTGCCTGCTTGCTTCTGCGCAAAAAGTCCGGTCGTCGCGGTGCCGGGTTTCCCAGAGATGATGACTCGTGTCGTCTTTCTTTGCCCCCTCCCGTTTCGTTGGAGAGTTGCCAGAGGCGACTTTTTACTAGTATATCTCTCGACAACGCTTCGGTGTCAATTTCTACCGCCGGGGAGAATAGAGAAACTTCAGCTATTAAACTTACGATGAGTAAGACGCCAGAATTGTAGCCTCTTTTTCTGGGTACCATCCAGCTAAAGATAGAACAGCCAAGAACCAGTACGAGTACGAGTCAAAAGACGGCTACAGATACCTTCTTCTGCATTAGTAGTCCCATCCCATTTCACTTATCCAGCACTAACAGCAAAAAATGGTGCAAAGTCACTCACAATCGCTCACGACGGCCATGACAAAACACGGCGAAAGGGGAGCCCACGAGAAGCGCCGCGCCGCTCCGGGACTGGCTGGTATAATAAGGTCATAGAATTCCTCCTAAGCTTATTTTCAATACTCGCTGACGAAAAGGCTTAGCATGCCACCACTGGCTGCATAGCGTCAATTCTCGACATGGGGGCCCTGTCCATTCTACACCTTTAAACCGAAAATCGTTGTCGCTGCATCCACGCCCCCCCCTTTTTTCCTTGCTCTGCTGTGCCGTTTTGCCCGCTGATCCGCGCGCCTTTTGTTCGCTACTGTTGGGGCTGCTGTAATCAACCTGATCTCTCTTGTCTTGTCTTCCTTCTTGGCCAGTTGATCCCCTAAAGACGAGATTCATGTACTCGTATCTTGCACCCCCTTCCTTGCAGCAACCCCCCCTTAAACCCAACGAACCGCCGAGGGGAGCCCATATTCTGGGTAGGTCGGCACGGGGGCTGTCATGGCCCACGGTTACGTGTTGCGAGGCTTTGACGTTGGTGACCATTCATTCAGTTGGCTGTCCGAACGGAATAGTAATAATAACCACATCAAATGCCCGTATTCGTCATCGATGGCATTCATGTTATTACACGGACATAGCCTTGAAGGATAGGATATGCTGATGTCTGTTTCAGGTTCATTGCAACGACTAGATCCTCCTCCCCAAAAAGTTTCAAGCGATAGTACACGTACCTATATATGAGGTACCTCTGTACATGCTACTGTAAAAGACTACAGGAGTAGCAATCAATGCCTGCACATGGCCAACAAGCATACATAACAAGCATCGGTGTTCCTCTCGGCGATGCTACTGCAAACTATATCAGCGGCTGCTATTGGCAGGTACTTGCGCGGATGTAGCGGCTATCTGGCCTCATTCTTCTTCAAGCGCTAAAAGTCGCGTCTCCTCTCTTCACCCAGCCTGAGTTGCCGTGGCTGCCGTGAGGGGGCTTGCGCAGAAGCTTGATTTGCCCTTGGGATTTGTCGCTTTACACACGGATGTTCATCCTATTTCCCATCCTATTTTGGTGCTATTTTATCCTTCATCCTAGTTTCGCTTGGACGCCCCCCCGCTGATGGGGCTTTTTCCATTTTTTCCATTCCTGATCCCGAGCAATTCTTTCTCTGGCCGGGCCGGAGCCTGAGACGCCGAACTTCCGACAAATGCAGACGTATTCACACCCCCTTTGCGCTGAAAGAAAAGCTTGGTCATGCCGTTTTATCCAAATACGGGGTGCAATGACGAAGCTGGCGTTCGTATACGCATATACGGAGGATAGGAGAGAGAAATCAAGGGAAATAAGAGAGAGAGAAGCCGTTTTTGGTGATAAGACGGCGCAAAAGGGGACGCGGACGCCTCGCCGGGTATAATTTTAGCAGTCGCTGGTGAGAGCCGGTCCTCATGATTCACCGCCACACCTAAGACGGCATCATGAGTTTCTCTCGATGCCGAGTTGAATTCCTCCGAAGCGTCAGCTGTGGTTGCTGTGGTTGTGCAGCAAAAAAAAAAGCCAGAAAACGCCTTATCAGAGCAATCGGCGGCACAAATTAGGCCATGCAGATTAGGCCTTACTAGGCACAGATTAAGGTGGCCGCGTGCTAACAACGTGAAGCTAATACGTAGCTTCAACTTGTCAGCCGTACAAGGAAGGAGGACCGCCAAGCGGCATCTCGGCTCCCAGGAACTACAGCACCTGTCCTTGTAGTGCGGCTCCCCACGATATCAATTATCCCGCAGAGCAAGATTGGCTATGCGTATTGCCTCGAAACGGACAAGATGCCAGCCTGGGTTCCCTTACCTGGAGCTGCGCAGCCAACCCGTTGTAGAAGTTGCAGCCGGGCCACCAGCGGGTGCCTTGTCGCATGTAACGGTCGCCGTCCAGGTACTGAGTCTTGTGGCCTCTTACTCGTATGAAGCAGCTGCTGGCATTCGGGACTCATTTGCCGTGCGGGCTGTTTCGACATGCCGTGTGGTGCCGATATCCAGAAAGGCACGGGCCACACTTGTTTTGTCCTGCTGCCTCTGACCTCTGCCTCCTCCCACCGCGGCTGGCTTCTGCCAGTAAGAGTAAGAATCCAGCAGTCAATGGCTGTATGGGGTAATGGCACGGAGCAAGACTCGTACATACGAAGCACAGGAATTGATACACGCAGCAAGAGCGCGCAACACTGTGGGCGATGCGTCGCGCCGATCCCGCGAGGTTAACAGGTAAGCATGTTTGCACTAGACCGGAGGAGGGAATCCGCGTCGCACAAGTCATGCACACGGGATTCCCATCTGAGATCTTGAGAGGTTGTTTCGCCCAAGCAGCAGGCTTTGCCTAGAGAGGAGGCATCCCAAACATGCTTATCCATGCCGTTGGGTTGGTTCTTGTTCTGTATACGAGCCCAGGACAGGACAGGACAGGACACACAAGCACAGACCCCAAAAGGGGAAAAGCAGTCGTCCAGTACAGAATAAAATAGGGTAAAAAAACCAGCGAATGACGTGACCACAGATACGCCGTACAGAGTCGTCAGCGAGGCGCGAGCTTCGGTTGAGTCGGCCAGCCTTGCCCTGGGGCGGATGCGCACACGCCCCTCCACGGCCGCAACGGGCCTAGAAGGATACCGAGGGTTGGTACACACGAGGGAAAGAAGCACCACAGTGCTTTCTTGGAGCCCCGTTATGACGTCGCCATCAGCATGCCGAGCCGGCTCCGGCGGCGTCGAAAAGGCTTGGGAGGGTTGCTGAGACATGCTTCCGGGTCTTGGCTTTGAACGCTGCAGGGCTTAGTATGAGACAGGAAGAGTGGTTGAAGAAAAGTTGAAAAGTTGGAACACAATAGTGTAGTTGACAAGTGCAGTACAGAAAAACGACAAGGTAGTATTGTAGGCTAATTTGACAAATAGCATGAACGAGTTAATAGTTGCAATCAATTAATTAGTATTGATCTTCTAGGATCAGCGCGAGCACAGTGCGATTTCCGATTCGACCGGCGCTGATAAGCAATAAACTGCTAGTCTAGACTCTTGATCGGCCTGGCGTCCGGGTAATCGGCTTCCAACATCGCTTCCATCCCACAGTCTGGTTTCAGAAATGGAACTGGGCCTGCTTCACTGGGCAAGGGCGAGACAGATTGACCTTCCCAATCTCTTGTCGTCGCCGAGAGATTGCACGACGTCTTTCCCTTTTGCATTTGATGCCGCCTAGAGTCCAGTTCGAATATGCTGATGCGAGATGCGCTGGTGGTGAGCAGAAAACGCCAAGCGAAGATGTCGATCCAGCGTAACCCCCGGCCTAGGATACCACTCTGTAAGATGGGATGGATTCATATTGCACGAGTACAGCATCAACCTTGTACTACCTAGTACCTACTAAGGTAGGCAATTACATCGTTCAATAGTACGGAGTACAGTATGTGGTAATTGCTTGCTGCTCCTAGGGGACTTGACACATATTACGTGGCATGTTCCTGAAAATGGACATGCTTGTTGAAGCAAGACGACTTGGAATATCCAATACTCGAGTGTTGGCACTTGTAAGTACCAAGGGGCAAGTACGGGTACACACATACGCTCAGACATTTCACTGTACAAGACTCTGTCGAGGTACCTTCTCAGCCAAGTATCGTCAACAACACATCCCATGACGAAATCATCCCCAAATCTTCATCATCTGCCATCAAAAAAAAATTTAGTTAAAAGCACCTACAGCACCTTCAGCGGCCGTTACATCCAAAACGGCCACCAGAGAGCGAGCATAACCCAGCAGGAGGGCCGGGAAGGTCACCAAGTTCACCCCTTCCCAACAGGCTACACTGGACATGGCCGAAACATGAGCGACCATTGGACAGGGTTGCAGGGATTTGTGGAGGCGCTACGGCAAAGTCGGCCGGGGAAAAAAAGTCTCTTTCTTCTTTCTTGTTGTGCGCGCGGCCCACACCAAGAGCCAAGCTCGCGCGTTTAAGCATGAATTTAAGCGTTGTCAGCCACTATGCTTGGCGCGGCAGCTATCGTCCAATGTTGCTTTGGGGGGGCGTGTTTGTATGATTTGGCATCTGTGAGTACAGTAGAGTCTGCTCATGAGCGGCGACGGAGGACGTATACCGTCTTATTGTCAGTTCATCTTGCAGCACGCCCTTTTAGCTCAAATTCCAACCAGCCAGCAACCGCACGTTTCAATGGGCCACAGCTTCCTCCTACTCATCAGTTTTTTTTTCCCTCTTTCCTGGTGGAAACGGTGGCTTGCTGCGTGTGGAGCCGCTGGAGCACTTGGCGCAAATCTAAGATGCCGTGCTTGCCGACTTGGCTCCCAGGGAGGGGGTGGAGTCTCGCTCGAGTTTGTTCTACTGGCACTGGCAAGGGCGTCTCGTGGCATTGACCAGTGCTAATGTGCTGTAATGGCCGCTGGTCCTGAGCTTGGCGGTCGATGTTTCTAATCATGGGCTAGGCCAGTGCGGATTCCGGAGTGCATTGCAGCGTTTCATTTCCGCCCGTCGTTTTTTGACGCTTCTCGACGTACAGTACGAGTTAGGTATTATTCAGCGGCCGAGGTGCACGAGTAATACTCCGTAGCCCGGATTTCGAGACACGCAAGTCAGATCCGATTTTCCGACCTGTGCGTCCGTGGGAGAGTACTAATGTATAGACTCGGCGGGCGGGCTCCTCTTTGGCATAAGGTTAAATCATTGGTCTGTCTCAGCGCATGGCTCGTGACTGATGGTTGGCCCTTACTTGGCCAAGCTAATTCAATACGTTTTGTATCCAAGTGTTGCTTGGGCGCATACTCTATGTTGTAGTATGTGCGAGGAGGCTAAAAGACGAGCGCGAAGCCCGTTTCTAATCCATGTTACTGCTATGTCGCTAGTGAGCTTGGTTATGTGGATGCCTAGAGGGAAGACGAGCGAATGCTACGGGGAACCTGTACAGTAGTTTTCCTTGGTCTTCAGCTATCCCTTTTCATTTTCAACTAGCCTGCTGTAGCTGCAAAGGTGGAGTGGAAGGATCACCACAAGCATTCATGTCCTCCGTCCTCCGTCTTCGGTGGTCCTTGGCCAAGATGGCCGACCCTTTTTCTTCAGCTGGATTTGGAAAGTCAGAGGATATTAGTTTGTCTTGATGCGCATCTTGGCTCGACAATATGCTTATCCAGCCCGGCGGGCATCAACAAGGTGCTGACTGAGTTCTATTACTTACTGTAATGGTGCCCCAGGCTGTTAATATTAGATCTTCTTGTCACACTGTAGGGTAAGCAAGAGGCAGCCTGTCTTGATGGCCGGTTTGCTTGGAATACGGGGGCCCCGCTGGTGCAAGCGTATTTTTGGAAACTGTTGGAATAGATGGCCATCGTATTAGGTTATGGCAAGAGAGTTCTTGGGCGTGCCGGGGATCAAAGAGAGCAGGGGAGATTTACATGGCCAAGGGAGAGTTTACACTCCGGAACAGACCCCAAGTATTTACGGAGCCTACCCCATACTGTACTTGCAAAGCAAAAAGCCATCTACGGCATAGAAACATGATGACGAAACACCTAAAAGAATCATGGAATACGTGCATCTAGAAAAAAAAAAAAAAATTTCCCCATCCCGTTGCGCCGATGTCGAAAATGGCGTTCCCAGACACGCACAAAGAAGGGTCACACCCAACAAGCCCTCGCATTGTTTCGGCGCAAAAATAAACAAATAGCCCAGACAGGAGGCAAAAGCTTGGCCCTTTAGCAGCAAAGGTGATTGGTCAAGCGCGCCAGCTTTCTTTTTTTTGCTTTGCTCTTGGCCCCTAATGGTTCCCATGCATTAGCGGCCATGGCGTAACCTTACGCTTAATCCTATCGCTGCCAAGAAATGCGTATCTGGGATGACGATTTATTGCCTCCCGTCGGGTTTTCCAGTTTGTCGATGCCCCATGCATACGCCTTTGTCACATGCCGATATGTGATTGTGACCGCTGTTCGCGTATTATGATAACTAATCCCCTTTTCTTTTGTTTTTTCCCTTCTTTGGTTCAACGGGATGGGCCTGTGTATTTCTTGCTCGTTACTGGATGCGGCCGCCATTTACAGTATGTACAGGGACGGTAGCGCAGCGGATGGCCCGGAACAAAACCATGCATTATCTCTCTTTCTTCCATCTGCCTTCTCGCTTCCTCCTTTAAGTTTTCCTTTGCTCTGTAGATGACATGGATATTTACGAGAGCATCTACAGAGTACATATGCACACGCCCCAACCTTTGGAACCATCGTTGCCATTTGTCACAGAAACCCGGAGACAAAATATCGTCACCATTCGGAGGTTGCTGGTTGTGCGACTTGATTGGAAAACACCGTTTTCGGTGGCTTGCTGGACCGGCATATCTGCAGGGAGCGAGCGTCTCCCCTTGCGATTGCTAGAAGGTCTGGAAGCAAGCCATGGGACGTGGCTTAGAAAAGCTGAAGCTGTAGCCTTCGTAGTGTGTGAAGCTATTTTATTTCTGTCGCCATCATTATCTAACACGTTAGCATGATGAAACAGAGCTAGTGCAAGCGTAAATATCATTAGCTTATCGACTTAACAGTGCTGTTGAAATTAAGCTGTGCAATCACGTTGTGTTAGTCTATTTGCCGTGTTACGAATACATACATGCAAAGTGCCAGTGAGAAAAGCAGACCAATGGTTTGTCGCCGAGTCATCTCACGTATTGAGTAATTTTTACGCCCTCTCGGAGCAAAACTTGCGGCACAAGAAGTGCGTGGTGCGGTTCTAACGAATTGGTATTGTGCTGTTGTCCAGTCTACAAGGTTCTCGGTTTGGTCGGGGCAAATATCCCCGAAGCTACCTAGTCTCGGGATATCGGCAATAGTGCGAGTTGTTGCGTTGCATTCATTGATTGTAACAACGTACGGCCGGTTTCTCAAAGAGATAGCTAATCTACAGCTTTAATAATCATGCTATTGAGAATAGAGATGAAAGAGGTCTTTCATGTTCCTGAATCCCTCTATTAAAGAGTCGATGTATTTTCACGGTTGGATAGGTAGTTTCGGGTAGACATTCTCCGCTGGGCTTGCTGCACATGAACACCGGCCAGAGCCCATCAACAGGGAACATTCCAAAGTTGTTTGTAACAGTACATATTGTGCAACCAGCAAGCCTTTCAACAGCTAGGGAGTACCGTTGTATCTATATGATATCTATCTTGTAGAACTGCCGCTGTCAATGCCGACATATACCCCAGATCCGGATGTCCACAGCTCTTCCCGCGCCCTCGCTGGAGGTAAACAAGTACTTTCCTCCATCACGAGCAGAGGTGGACGTTGCATATAATGAGATTACTACTACGGAGTACTAACTTGAGAACCAGCATACTATTTCTTTCCCCGGGATACACTTGATAGCATGTTAGCTCCCCGGCAGCTGCAGTAGTGCTAGTCAACAATAGCATCAATAGTCGCAGTCGTCACGGCATACAATATCCGGAAGCTGGAGTTAGTCTTCCGTACCCCTATCCCCGGGGAGATAACAAGGAGAGTATCTCGAATTTAGCCAATCTAGGCTATGTTGTGCGATAAAATACGCATACCTTGTTTGGCTCTCAAGATAACAACCTATTTGGAAGGTTGTCGCTCTTTAGGTGATGGCCGCGATGGCGCTGATGCTTCGAAAGTCGCCGAACAGGTATTATAGTTCTTCTAACTGGGATATCCAAGAATAGAAAGCCCCTTGTCTCATACTAAACACACTCAATGTTATAGAGATCATCTTGTTGAAAGCTACATCCGGCCCGTTCCTTGTTTGTTGCTCATTCTGACTCACTTACATGCCGTTGATTACAATTACGAACAGTAGCGTTAGAAGTGGTACGTATGTTTAACTAGGTCGGCGAATGATATCTAATATGTCATCGGAGGTTTACAGGCTCTCATGCAGTGTGGCATCAATGCAATAGGCGTTTGGTCTTGTCAGGGGCTGCCTATAGTTGATGAGATATGGGCCAGGCTCGAGGTAAGCAATGAGCCTAACACCGAGAGTGATCGCCTATCGACCCAGCCCAGCCTAAAGCCTATTTCGTTATTTAAGACCGAGTAATGCCGTCTTAGTAGTCCCTGACCAACATCCTCGTACGAGTACATGTAATCGTCGCTGACATGCGCCAAAAAACGGATCAAACGGCAAGCTACTACTAACTACATGTATTCTTCAACATGGCCAGGGCCAATCGCGATCCAAACAATTGCCAGCGACTTGTCCTTGCTCTTTCCGCAAAGGGGAAAAGAGAAGCTCGCTGTATAAAAAGGCTTGTGCCGAGATGTCGCACTACTGGATGGTAGTCTCTGCTGCTAAGAGAATTGATGTTTCATTGGCAGCGGAGACGGCATTCTGAGGTCGCGGCTGCGACGGTGGCATCCGCCTTTACACATTACACATCTTACAGACTCACGACAAAACATGCCTTTGGCTAACTGACAAAGTACAGGGCTGGTTAGTGTGCAGGTATACACGTACAGATCCCGTCAAAAGCACGGGTACGCTTTGTGGGCACCCAAATAGACTTATCCATGTCGACGGATGCTCAAACTTGGCTGTTTGCTGAGCCCGACACTCCGGGCATTGCTTTTCTTCCCCCATTATCTTTCTGCTGCCTTTTCCTCGCTGGATTCAAAGCACATGTCCCTGGCTGCCTCAATCCAAAGGCTTTACTGTTTTCTTCTTCGTACTGGCACCCCCTCCTTTATTTCGTTCTTTATTTCCCATGCCCACCCCCTCCCACGCCATCTCGGTTCTGACGGCACGACCCTCCAGCTTCCCCTCCATTCCCAAGATTCCATCTTCTCCAGCGGACTAATACTGGTAGTGCGTATGCCTACTTGTACCTCGGATTCTCAACCGGATTACTAACCACAAGACCTGGAAAAATACCCACAAGGCGAGAAGGGAGAACGAAGAGCCGCATCGTCAACAGCTTTGGAAATGTCCCATGTTTGCTTCCATAATCATCAACGGTGAATGAACACTCGAGACTCCTCCAGACTGGGAATCCTGCCTTCTTCCCTTTCAGCCTGAAAAGAAAAGAAATGAGGCAAAAAAGTACCAACGACATTCTTTCTCGCCCGCTAGCCCCACGCCATTTGCTGCCATGTGGCCTCGTCAAGATATGGTTGATTATGCTTACAAGTATGCGAACCAGCCCCCATGTCAGGCCAACCGTTGAGCTGAGCCAACAAGCCCTTTGGCCGCCTCCTTTTTTGCCCTTTTGGAATACTGCTTTCTGAGGCGTCGTAGCGTGCGCCACGCCTTCGCTAGTACAGTGCGCCAACGCTGGTCTATTGCCTTCACGGACGCTTCTCCGCCCATAAACCAAGCGGGAAAATAGAGGAATTAAGGTCCCAAGGGGGGGTCAGCGGACTTGGACCGACGTCTCTTCAGCCCTGGCTGTTAGTCTAATATCCGAGGCCTGCAGCGCTGTCTTTGTTTAGCACTCCTGGGGTCTTATCAGCACTTGGGGGGGAATAAGATGACAAACCACCAACATGAGCCCTCCACCCCCTGTCGCTACGTTTTTTTTCGCAGTTGCATAGAAACGGCATTTCCCGTTTGCGAAGTGCTTTATTGCTCGTCATTTCGCTGTGCGCTGGGTGCCGGCAACAGTCGCAGCACAAGGAGGCGTCTCGGTTCCTATCTTTGGGCGTAATCGTAATCCGCATGGGGCACCGCCATGCCGCAGTATCCATTGTTCAACTTCCTGCTGGTAATATTCGCGATTAGCTGCTGAGCTGATCCGCTTCTCCACAGCGGCTATTGCGGATGCCGACAACCGCTCGCGGATGTGCTTGTACGAGGCGCTTTCTTTGTGCTCTGCTCGGTAACCCGGCAAGACTGCTAATAAGGATGCGTGTTGCGAAAGGCGGCGAGGTTTCCGTGAGAACCGATTACTCACGCTAGTTGTCGAAACTTGTCATGGTTGATGCGGGCAAAGGCTGGAGCTGAAGTGAGCTGATGGATGTTGTCCAGCTGGCTCGGAATCGGCTGCAGCCTCCCAAGGTCGAGAAGCATCCTCGGCTTTGAGCTGATGTGAATCCGTAAAGCTTAGTTGTCTGATTGTGTCGATGGCACTTATGTCAAGACGTTTGTTCAACTTGTTTGTAACTTGATTAAGTTCACAAGGTTGTGAGTGCAACCTCTTCAAGTGAGACTGAAGTAAGGGCAACTGCTAAAGGCCCAAGATCATGACCGCTGACCAGCTCCGGCAGTGTAAATGATGAGATAAATGGCTTCTCGTAAGCCAATCGTCTCTGGAGATATCGTTTTGCTATGTATACAAGATAGGGGTATTTCTATTCCGTCTTCAAAACAGCTGTTTCTCTACAACATTCTACGCAACAACTACCCAACGTGGTCGTTAATATAATACAACACTGTGGCATTGTGAAACTCATACCACTGCTCCCGTCTATTAACCAGAATAGATGGAGCGGAATCCCGCCGAGTCAGAATCTCCGAATCCAAAACAATGCGGCTAGATGCGCTTCTGCGGAGGCGTCTGTTCCCAAACTGTGCTCACTCCTTTGGTGAAATCAGAACAAGCACTTGGAACCAGGCAATCTCTGCGGCATACAAGTAATACATGGGCTCAGTGCAAGGGAGAGAAAAACGAGAGAGGAAAGAAAAGACTGGTTCGGCCAACACCCACCGCTAGATCAAAAGCCTCATCGCTTTCCCGCAGAATCGCATCCACTGTCGCAGATGCACAAGTTGCACAAGATCTAATTTCCCCATTTGTGACTGAGAACCACTCGCTGGAATGTACCCAATCGCTGTTGGAGCATCGGCTCTCAAATAGGCGGTGTCGGCCTCCCCGTCTCGCGTGTAAGGTACATATATGTGTGTGTGCGAGCACGTGTATATACATGGAAGGGGTGGTATATATATGTGTGTATATATAGAATCGTCAAAAAGGAGACTAGAACAATGGCACATGTGGCTTCCCGCAAGCCTCCTCGTCTTTAACCTCAAGATTGGGATACGCAGTGTAACCTAATCACGGCGTGGCGTTGCGTCATGCAATCGGTCCCCTGACGCGGATCGCCGTTTGCTGCTGTCGTGCGAGCAAGCTTGCCTGAAATGAAACAGTCCGAGGTAGGCAGGCGTTGACGAACACAACAGGCTCGTTGCTTGCCATCTCCCGAGACGTCGGGGCAATCTCCTGTCTGAGTGACGAAGGCTGATGTGCCGCGAGGTCGAAATGATAGCCGGATTTAGCAATCGCAGCGCTCGAAATGGCGCGGAAATGGCACCACGTCACGCACGTTGGGTACACCAGTGAGATAACTCAGCAGGCGATCAAACCCAAGGCCGAACCCTCCATGGGGAGGACAGCCCCAGCGTCTCAGATCTAGGTACCACCCCATGTCGCTGGATCTGGCTTTCCGCTGTGTCGGGACCTCTAGACCATGAAGGCGCATGCTGTCCTCGAGTTGGGCAAGCCGGTGCTCCCTCATGGATCCTCCCGCAAGCTCTCCGAGATTGGGGACCAGGAGGTCGAAGCAGTCGACAGTCTGCCCCTGAGGTGGCGGGGACTCGGACTGAAGCATGTAGAAGGCCTTGATCTCCTGCGGGTATTGAGTGACAAAAATGGGCAGAAACGCGTCGGTCTCTTCGTCGTATCCGATTTTTTCAGCAAGATACTTTTCATGTTCCGACTGGAGTCCCGAACCCCATACAGGCTTGTGTTCAAACATGTGGGCTACAGGCTGAAGGATTTCGATGGCCTCCGTGTACGTCACTCGTGGCCATCTCTTCGGCGACGTCAGACCCCTCCATCGCTGCTGCAGCTCTTTGGGATCTACAAGGTCTTCGAATGCCAAGCGTTCTGCCGGGTCTCTGGAGTCAAGCCGATGCTTTTCGAGTTCTTGGGCGGCACTGAGCCGCTTGAGTCCGCCGGCAAGCGACGCCAACATTCTTTGGGCGAGGTCCATGACCTCATCCATGTCTTGAACGAAGCTCATTTCAGCCTCAAGCATATAAAACTCGCTCAGATGCCGAGAGGTGTCACTCTTCTCGGCCCGGAACGTCGGTGATAGAGTCCAAACATTCCCTAGCGCTTGAGCTAGAGCCTCCAAATGCAGCTGTGATGAGACAGTGAGATACTTGGGGTCTCTGAAGAATTCGGTTGTTCCACCGTTCTTGACGGTAAATGCTTCGCCGGCACCCTCGCAATCTGATGAGGTAATGATTGGCGGGTGGGTTTGCTGAAATCTTTCTTGGAAAAAGAATTGGCTTAGGAGGGCCATGGCATCCGATCTCAGTCGAAGGAGTGTTGAGTTGATGGGAGTTCGCGGACGGAGATGCGATATTGCGCGCAGGCTCTCCGGCGTTTGATATTTGTTCTGAATGGGATATGTCTTGAGAAATGTCAGACCGATTCCACGAGCCAAGGGGAGCAAAGAGCGGCCTCTTTGCAGAACAGCATAGCCTTCCTTACTTGAGGGTCGGACGAGCCGAGAATTTCCACCTCGCTGACCCGTAGCTCAGCTGTAGTCGGTGCCGGGCCTTGGTCTGCTCCAGCAGAATGAGCAGCAGCCTCTTGCTCATGCACATCACTCGAACTTGGCTGGCCTGCAACTGAGCTACGGGCAAGCTTGCCTCCTTGAGGTTCTACGCTGGGAGATGGTTTAGAGGAAGAGGAGCTACTATGCCATACGCCTGTGAGGCGGACGGCTGCACCAGGGCGAATACTACGACGTGCTGTCAGCTACTGCTCGCCATGATGCCAGGACGAGGGCTGACGTACTCTGCGGCCAGGCTCTTGTCCACAACGGCCTGCACAGGTCTCATTGATGAGCCGTCTGTGATGTCAACGAAGCGCACGCTAGAGCTTTTGCGAACTGATCTAACCCAGCCGCAAAGCTGGACATCCGAGACAAGGCGTCCAGGCTGCCATTCTTTCAGGTCTGCCACCGTCTTGACGTCTCGAAGGCCCTGCCCGTCGTCACCAGGGATGCGCACCGAATAGCTTCGCCGATAGGGAAGACGGCAGGGCCGATATCGTCTGGCAAATAGGCTGAGAGGATGAGACATGATATGATATTCTTCTGATATGATAGCTCAGCGGCTTCAGCAAGGCGGCAGAATTTGGGTGCGTCTCATGACGTGTAGCCCCGGGCTAGGTAGGGAGAAGCAGAAGCACTGCAATGGCCGTACAGACTGTCTTGGGTCTAGATGCCGGTGGTTGTCATTTCCTGTCTCGCTGAGCAGGATTTGAGGTTGCTTTTCTTTTTGCTGGCTGAAAGCTGTGAGCAGGGGTTGGGCAGAAAAAGGAAAAACAGTTGTGCCGTTGGTGTGTGGGCTAAAGCGGTGAAGCGGACTGCAGGCGGGCTCTGTGGCACCTGGAGCTCGCGAACTCGTGGAGGTACGTAGCACAGATGAACGATCAGGTACAGGTACATGATCAGTACCGGATCTGGTACTTTGCGTCCGACAATTCGGTACAAACGAACGATGTCTGCATAACATCTACCAGGTTACCTGGCATTGTTGTGTTGGCTCTCTCTTGCAAAGCAACTCAGGCTGAATTTTATATCAACCAGCCACGGCTAGCAACTGATACTGCCACTAGCAATACCATCATACCTCAATGGTATAGTGGCGCGGCAACGCTAGAGAAAGGGGCCGACGAGCGTCTGTTAGAGCCTGGCAGACACACGTATATTGCCCTCCTTGCGGCCACTAGGAGCTGCAGGCATCTTGCATGGTACTGCCTTATCTGGTGGCTAGCAACCCATGGTACCTTAGCACCCTCACTGGCAGGTATCTTTCCTGCCAGAACAGGAGCACGGAGTACCTTAGCCGGTGTGGGACTCGTGTCTCTAGTGCCAAGCAGGTACCGGTACATCTACTTGGACACTTCCAGACTGCAGCAGGGCCTCAACTTCTGCTCTCGCATCTTCTCCCCTCTTCATATCCAGTATCGTCATGCAAAGCTTCCACTTGGTGCCTCTCAAAGGCCTTCGGGCCGCCTACAGGCTTGGCGGGCCGCACCCACCTGATCTCCCTTTTCTTTTTTTGTCTTATCCTGTCATAAAATGATGGGCGCCTTCTCTGAATGGGTGCCAGAAGCGCCATGTTCCACTCGCACCCTTCACTTGTCTGGCGACTGCGGTCCTTTTGGCCTTGTTTTCTCTTCGTCAGGTCATGTTCCGCCGAGTCTGGAAGAAGCCATGTCGCGAGATTGCCTCTTGGGACTGTACGCTGCAAGTGGCGTCCCCGGCTAACGGCTGTCCAACCAGCTTGATTTTGATGTCTCAGCTCGAGTCCTTCCTCCTCGCCCGGACTGACACCGTCGTCAACCATCACGTCCATCCCTGGCGAGTGCCATGGGATTGGGCAATCGCTGCGACCTCCATGGCTAGATGGACGGCCTGCCAAGTCACAGCCGCTTTCCGCCTCCACCCTCGAGTCCGCCAGGGCAATCCCAGCACAAAAGAACAAAAAGACCTGCCTGTGCGCCGTACTCCATACAAGCGTGTACCTCTCGTGGGAGTGGCACTCGTACCGCCTCCAGACGAGATCTACCATCTACCTGTACTCGTATGTACGAGGACTCGTACGGAGTACACCCAGACCCCAAAACCAAAGGCCCTTGAAGCCCCCCTGGCCCATGCCCTGCGCCGACACAGACTAGTTTAGATCCTTGCAAGGTTCAACAGGGCGAGATGAGGTATCACAGATCTTATGCGCATGCGTCCGCAACAATACTCCGGCCTATGCCAAAAGCAACAGTTACGAAGTGCCTCTCGTCATTGCTTCCGCCCGCTGTGCTCTGCTTGCATGTGCTCTTGCCGTGTTGAATCCAATAAGCAGGCCGGCTTCAGCTCCGCTCACCAGGGCCTCCCCTACCCTTCTACCCAGTGTGAAGCCAGAAACTCCGTAATGAACCATGAACGCTGTACATCTTTGTCTGAGAGACCCACGGGGGGAGGGGACCTCGTACTATGCCTTTCCGGCCCTCTGTCTGGGCTCTCGACCTGCCTCTGAGATCTCGCAATACGCGAATCAAAGCTTCTTGACCAGTCCTGGGCACTACCACCCCTCCATGTACAAGCATGTCCCGCCAACTTGGCTGCCGGCGCCCTCGTGGGTCCCGGTATGAATTCCTGTCTTGCCGGCAAGACATCATCTAGCCCCCCTTTGCGGTCTTGGTAGTCTGTCAAGCGATGCTTGACACTCTCTTTGCAACTTAAAGATCACCAGCCTCTTGATTGTTCCTGCTGACCCTGCTTGCTCGCCTGTCGTTGGCTTTTGTTCTAAACATGTGGTTCAGATTCTGGACATATTGGGTCGTACAATTCACTACAATCCCTACATCTCGCTTCACCCTCTCGAAGAGCCTTCGCTTCTGGATGACTGCCCGCCAGATTGGTAACTTGGCTTGAAGAGGAAGAAACAAGGGGAGCGCAAAAAAAAAAAAAAAAGGCATTTATATCAGGCCGAGACAATGATATAAATGCACTTCACCCGCCCTGCTGACTGGCTTACTTTCTCGGGATTCAAAACAACAAGTGTCCCCTCCAGCTCTTATTTAACTCACACATTCCTTCTTTATAATTTGTCGACGTCTCCTTCACCATATTTTGTTCATCCAACTTCTCTTTTTTATCCAACAAAGAGTCTTCAGCATGGCTCCGACTTCTAGATCTAGCAAAGTAAGGCCGTCGGACGTGGCAGCTGACACCAAGAGGAACTTCATACCTCTTGTCAAGGCCAAATACTCAGAAGTGTTTCCTCCATATTCTATCCTCTACCGACAACCTACTGTGCAGCTTGATATCCCCCGCCGGAAGACGACTACGCGTCCTCCGGTGTTTCGAGTAGAATATGGCGATCCCGTCATGAGAGCCATCTACTATGCCGCCATGGATAGTGAGTCTAGTGAGGCAGCAGGGGGTCCGAGGATTCGGATTCCCTTCATCTGCGCCGCCAATGAGCGTCGTCCCGGGGGAGACTGGGAAACTGGCTGCTCCGGCTACGAGGAGAGGCTTTGTCGACGAAGCAACCTCTCAGCTACCTTGAGCACTCCATGGCCGACGGTGGGAGAGGTGTCCCACTATCCAATTCCCACTCCCGGAGGCATTCTCTCTGACTCAGTGGTTGTTTGCCGTGGACCTCACGAGCGGTATGAACAGCTTGATCGCTGGTATGATCTGCCGGTCATCTCTGTCGCCCCAACAAGATGGCCCAAACTCACAGAGAATGGGACCAAATATTCTTTTTCGGCAGAGAGGGACATGATCAGAGAAAAAATCCGTGGCGCCCTTCGGATTTGTCTATACAACAATTACGATCGGGTAGTGATTGGCGATTTTGGCCTCGGCAATGGCTACCGCAACCCACCCAAGGAACTCGCCGAGATTTGGCGGGACATCTTCCTCTTTGATCCCGACCTCCGCGGTCAGTTCTCATATGTCATTTTCGTCTTTGAGGATCCCGCACAGAGCACGACTCGCCTCATCCATGAAGAAATGCGGAAGAAGGACCAAAAGAGCAGTGGCGTGTCGAAGTCAAAGATGCCCCTTGGCTCTGGTGGTAACGGGCCTACCGATATGGACATCTTTGAGGGTGTCTTTGACCCTACAGAGATTGAACATGTTCTTTGCCGACCAGACCCTCGATACGCACTTGATATGATCACTTCTTGACGTTTCTTTGCCATCTTCTCAAGGATGACGACTACGGACCAGCTACGAGGACGGGGACAGTCTCAGCGACAACGCACATGGGCTTCACTGGCTTTCCAACGCTAAGTGAAGCCCTCCTACCGCCACCCCCTTTCTCTGTCTGTTCCTCTCCTAGCTTAAAATTCATCATGTGCGGGTCATCAAAAGAGGGGGGAAGGCTGCTTTAGGCTACTATGTATGGGCGGTATTGTTTGTCTTTCTTATTTGTTCGGGCTTTTTGTTGTCTTCTCTTCTTCGAGTGGAGAAGGGCGTCAATGTCTGGGGCTGGGACACTATGGAGGTTGGTTCATTATGGCTTGGATGGACGGGCTAAACTATTACGGATATCACATATTGGGACGAGGTCTTTTTTTTCCCCGGGTTGTTTCCTGTCTCTTTTTTTTCGCCTTCCCGTGCTGCATAGAGTCATCTCGCATGTACGATTGGTTGCTGCTAGTGCAGTTTAGTATTGGCGGGCTGTGTGAAAGCACCCTGGGAGGTTTTTTCTTTTTGTCTTTCCTTTTTTTTCCCAGCTGCTATTGAGGTGCGGTGTGAAACCAGGACAGGCGGCTCTCATATTCTGTTCCCCCCAAGAATCTAAGATGCAATTGGATTAAATCACTCACTAGGCATCGAAATTTGGTGACAGAAGACAGACAGCTGACATCAGACCCCCCTCGCTGGGAATGAGCTGGCTGAGACATGAAATGGCACTACGGCGAAAAGGGCGATTGAGGTGTCAACCAACTTTTGGGGGCCGGCGTCTACATTTGCTACCACACATAGATGACATGACTTTTTTCTTTCTTCCCCTTCTGCATGAGTTGCCTGCCTTCAATGACCGCCAGTAAGATCTCAGAATTCTGATATAAATACGAACTCAGAACCCCCGACGCAGCAGTTTACAAAAGTACATGTATGCGGGCATCATCCCCAGGCACGGGCTATTATTGAACTGCAAAGTCGAGTGAGACTGTCGCAATGGGCCAGAAAACAGTCGGGACATGTCCACTAAGCGTTCCGGAGACCCACGACAGGCTAACGGGTTTGCTCGAAATTCTTATTATTAGAGGCCACCCCTCACCCCGGGAGTTCCTTGCATGCGTCAGACGGCTGAGGAGTTGAAACCGGTGAAGCTGGATTGGTGAGGCGCTAAAATATGGTCTCTGTGATTCGCGGCTAACACGATCTACAGATAGTTCATTGCCGGAGACGCTATACCCAGGCGTTGATGACCGTTTGTTGACTCAGAATGCCGCTGGGTGCTGCAGGAGCATTGAGACACTAGGATCATTACCCTCTGTCAAAGGATAGCCTGATGAAAAGCTTCTGGGGGGGCGTGGAAGGGCGTGATTTGCTCAGCAGAGAATGTACAGTATGGGGTCGCCCAACCCTTCCCTTCCCCATACGGAGGAGCCACATGCTCATCGCCGACCTCGTTTCTCAATTCTCACCAATCTCACGAGTCGATTGGCCCTCTCAGAATCAATAGCCATGGGTCACTAGTCATGGGAAGCGGTCCCTCTTCCCCAAATTGCTGCCACTCAGCCGCAATTTTTTGCCACCTCCCCAAAAAAAGCAAATCAAGCAGCAGCATCTGAATCTCCCCTACCCCGCCAGGAGGCTCTTGGGAAGCTCTGCTTTTTGAAAACCATGTTGCCGGAGCAGGGATTGCGGAACTCGCCCCTTGCCGGATCTTTGGTGCCTGCTCTGTGGCATCCATGCCATGATGCTGGAAGTGTCAAAAGCTGCGGCCGTTGGACATGGGAAGCGGTGCTATACTCGGCCTGTACAATACAGGTAGCCTGATGAGTGCTCTTCTAGTCTCAACCCTGCGGCCGCATCAAAGCCTGTCCTATCATGTCTACATTGTTTGCGAAGGCGTACAGGTATCGTACCTGTACGAGAGATGCCTGCCTGGACAACGTGTGCCTGGTGCGGCTAAGTACGGAACTGGGCTCCGGATTTATCTCGAGATGCCAAGGGTTGGGCATCTTTCTTCCCTGGCCATTCATCTTGGCAACATCAGCAATTGAAATATTGCTCTGAGTATTCTGTAGACTGCTGGGAGCATTTACATTCGCATTCGCCGCTCTCTTTCCCCCCCGTCTCTCTGTTTCGTGCAAGAGGACAAAAAGACTTGGCAACGCAACCTGCAATCACATCACACGCTTGCGTGGCTTACAGATTAGCTTCGCAGACGTACCGATCTCGACACGCTTGAGCAAGACTCGTAACCAAACTTAGCCGGGAAGCTCAACGGCGGATTACACGTTAGTACACATGGCGCGCATGCATGTATGTACACATCGTCAAGGCCCATATATACACCCCCTTTTTTTCGGTACTTTCTTGGAAGTTACAGGCAAAAGGCAAGAAAAAGGAGGTATACCATGTACAAGCATGATTCTCGATCAAATGACAAAGCAAAGGTGACATGTCGCCTGGATCACACCCATCAGTAACACCCTCGATAGGCTCAATCCGTCGCCCGTTCCTGGGTCTTTGACAGGCGAGTTTGCCGGGGTCAGCGAGAAGGCATCTGGCATCACCGACACCATCAACTTTTTACTGCTACTTCATGCAGAAGTAATACTACTACATGCTACATGTACATGCTGGCCTGTCATCCGCTTCCTTGGAGATGCACGATCGCTTGCCATACGAGAAGTGGGAAAAGTGGGATGGGAAAAACAGGATTCTGATCATCGTTCTCCTTCGCTCCCACCCTCCCCAGAACGGGCTAGGTTACCCAAATCGGCACCCTAGGCACACGAGGCTGTGGGCAAAGGGGAATCTTTCTGCGATCGGTGCCCCATACGTGCTATGTACATACTCGGCGGGAGAGGGCGTCTTTTTGCCCTTCTACGAGTGCGAGATCTCTCTCCCTATCCGGCACTCTATATTGCAGAGTTGTGTGTGGAAGATATGGCATTCTCGGCGTTGTTTTAGGCGGCGGAGACGAGAAAATGATGGGGACCGGGGGGGAAGCCGATGCTGCACATACTAGGAGGATTTGGAAACTCGATGGAAACCGGGCTTCGGGCCATTAGCCTGTGGGCTTAGCCGTGCGTCTTGGGGATTTGTCCGTGTGGTGGTGGTTCGACGGATAGTTCGGTTTTGAGACAAGGCCAGGCCAACTAATCAGTCAATGTCTTTTAGCCTTTTTGCTCATCTCATCTCTCTCCAAGACAGGAGGATTTCAGTGTCTCAACCCGACTAACGGAAAAAAACCCCAGCCCGTCAACAGGAAAAAGCAAAGAAAGCAAAGAAAGACTGAAAAGAGAAAAAAGCACGAATTGTTTCGTCCCCTGCTTTGCTTTTTAGAGTTCAGCTTGCCATCTCACTGTTCATCAACCTGAAACAGACCCGGCGCTCAGGTCTGTGTGTCTGTCTGTCTGTTCCCCCTCACCACCATCATCACCAAACACACATACACACACACACATCAGAGAAAGAAGGGCTGAGAATTCCAAATTCAGCCCCGGCAATGGAAGTGTGTACGGCCTTTTTTTCTGTGGTGGATTTCAAGTTGATTAGATGTCACGATTGATGGAGGGGACCCTTGCCGATTTGCTAGTGCGAATGGGGATGCATTGCATGTAACGTTTTTGTTACCGTAGCATCGCCCATCCTTTTGGCATCTTTGATACGATACCGTTGGGGCGGGCGGTTGCAAAATGAGCAGGGTCTTGTTATTGCTATTTCTGTAAGTACGAGTACAATACAACATTGAGGAATCGGGCAAAGCTCCGAGACTTAACTTACACTGTAGCCTAGACCGGGTATTTTGCTCCTTTATTTTTCTTTGCATTCTCCCTCCGAGTGGTGCACGTAATTAAACATGCTTGCATTTGAATGAAATGAATCTAAGACACGCTATGCATGTTCATTTAAAAGGAAAAAAGAAAAGACAAACTATCTGCAAAAAAAAAAAAAAAAAAAAGTAATGACGTATTAATACATACACAACTGTGTTGCAATTCAAACATATGTTTTCTATTTCCATATCATTTTTTGTAATGCTCGATTCGGACATTAAGCAGTGACCCGTTTTGTGCCAGCACTTTTTTTTTGTCGTATCAATGTTACCCAAAAGCGTGCGCCTTACATATAGTGACGTCCCCCGTTCAAGCTACCAAACGACGTGCTCTCTCACTTGCGAGAGCGAGAAACAGAGTGCAAACACCATCGTCTGATATCACAGCTTGGTTAAAAACCCACAACCTCAATTTCTACCACTGTTACCAATAGGACGGCCTCAGTCCCGCAAAGTTGGCCATTACGGCCGTTGCCTCGCCCTCGCCTTCTTTCTTCCGTTGTCCGCTCAACTATAGGCAAGCAGGATTAGCATCTGATAGAAAACAAGCTGTAATAAAGAAAAAGATTAGTAGACATACCTCGAGCTGAACTCCCCGGTGAATGTGCACAAGCCAGTCGACGTAGCTCTTCGCCTCATTGTTTCGGTCCTCGACTAGCATCCGAGCAAACTCATATTCAGCGCCGTCAAGTCCCTGGCGCGCCAATTGTATAGTCATGCCCTTGGATCCCCTCATAGACTTGAGGAACTCAATAATGTTGCGAACTTGGGCACTGAGATGAGTTTCTAAAACCGGCAGTGAGGACGTATAGACATCCAAGCTCTTGAGTGTGTCGTGACCCTCGCCAAAGAGGTCGGTTATCAAGTTTGGCGATGTCTGGGAGTGGAACCAGAGCAAGCACTGCTGTCCGTTATCAACCAGATAGACACCACCAGGCTCGACACGCGAGAATGATGTTCTGACCGACGGAGGCATCTTGAGGTGGCCAGTTTCGGGGTCGGCAAAGCCTTCTTCGGGTTGGAGATTGTGAAGAGCAATCATTCTGGGGTAGAGGTACAGATTGAGTTCCAATGCGCCCATGCTTCGAACCATGCGCATGTCATGAACTCTCCGATCCGAATTCTCGATACCGCCCTTGAAAGCTCTGCACTTCAAGAGGCCCAGCATGTACATGCAGAATTCCTTGAGCCTTTCGGGCATAACAAGCTGGCTCGGCGGGAATTGGTTAGCCGAATGCTTCTTGTAATAAGCCATGATGTCAATTGTTCGCTCAGTCAGCCAGTTCCGGACATCGAGGAGGTTGGCCGATGTGGTTGCGAGCTTGGTGCCGGCCTCCTTTGCCAAGATACCAACAACGGCATCTTGGTCGACAAACTTCAAGCACTGCCGAATAGCCTGCTCCTTGGTGCTGGACTCTTTAGAGGTATCGCTGACGCTAGCAATAACGTTGGAGCATCGCACACGCCGTTGCCCGGAAGCGGCTGTGTAGAGGAGGGCGGTCTGGAAATGGGCGTCCAGCTTCGGATCCAGTTTGCCGTCGTAGCTAAATGATACACCGAGAGCCTTGTCCGCATCGATGACGCCGATTTCCAAGTCGGCGCCAAAGGTGTGCTGGATAAAGTTGCCGTGGTATGCGGATACTTGCAGTCCATTAGAGCAGCGCACCTTCATCAATCCCTGGTAGCCCGTTTCTCGGGTAATGGCATGTGTAATCTCCATCGACAACTTGGCACCATCCCGCGGAGCGATGAAGTTGGGGAAGTAAAAGGTCTCGCCACCGGTCGTGGCAGCGACATGTCCTACCGTGGCAATGTCAAGATAGCCGCCAGACGGCGCAGCAAGAAAGAAGTCGACACCAATTCCCGACGAAGCCATCTTTTCAGCCACCTTCTTCCACGCAGGATGCTCTGTCGTGTACATCTTCTTATCCATCTCGCCACCAGGATGGTTGCCGTCATCGCGCATGAACAATCTACCAGGACCCCAGGTTGATAAGCTCGAGCCAGAGCACACCACTTTACCTCCAGTGGCCTCTAGCGCAGCTACAGCGGCATTGAGAGTGGCAAGGAGGGCGGGCTCGGGGTTTTTGATGTCGGAAAACATCTCGGGAAGGCGGGTTAAGAGAGACGTGATGATGGCCTTTGACTCATACGGGTCGACGAAGAGTCCCTCGCCAAGGGGGAGGAAGGGGTCTTCCAAGTCTGGCATGATCATCATATGCGCTTGGTCGAGATTCGGCTGGTTTCACTATTAGCAAGCCAACTCAATTCACCAAATCATTCCATTCATCACTCACATTGATGTTGTAAAAGTGAATGTCCTTGTCGTATGTGATGAAGCCGACCTTAGCTCCTTCGGGTATCCTTCGCTTTGGCTCACTGTTTTCATCTTTTTCTTCATCATTGCCCCCATACAGGGCGGCAAGAATGCCTTCACAGAACGTCTCCATGAAGCCCTTGTTGTACGACTCCTGGGTGACGTCGATGACGAACAGCCACCGGAGGCCAACAGGCTCCCTGGTCCAGTACTCCTTGGGAACAACAAACTCGACTGTGCCACGGTGAAGCTCTGCACGCTGGTCTCTGTCTAGGCGCACCCCCTGGGGGCTGATGGCGCAAAAATACTCTGGTGGTGTATCGTTGGGGTATGAGCAAAGGTTGCACACAAACTTGTTGCCGCCAGATCGGAACATCATGAACGGGTTGATGTAAGCTCGGCATCTTCGACAACGTGGCGGGCCAGCTTCTCCAAAATCAAGAACAGGGATCTCTGCCTCTCCGGCCTGGAGGGGAGCCAAAGGCTGAATGAGCATGCCCAGGGGCAAGCCAGTTGAGTGTAGGCCCTCGGACGTAGTTGGGATGTTGTTCAGTGTGAGTCGGGTATATTTGGGGGAGGCATTGCCTTGGTCGAAAGCAACAAACGATGTAGTCGCAGGCGGAGGAACATGGCGCTCAAAGGTCGGGTATACGTTCTTGTTGAAGTGCTCCTGGATCGCGTCTCTGGCAGCCGGTATGCTTGGCATGTCCTCCGCCGAGACCTGACTGGCACCAGCTGCGCCTATAGGTGTAGCGGCATCGGTGGGGCCAGAGCCAAATCTCGATGCGAATTCGGCTTGCGATATGGGGTTCGCGGGGGTGAATGGAGAGGCGGGTGCTGGGAACTGGCCGGTATTAGCCATCTGAGGCGTGCCCATGGGACTGGCCAGAGGACTTCCAAACTGCCCCAGAGCCGGAATGCCCCGCGGGCTGTTGACATTGAGGAACTGCTCGGCAGGAGTCCCAGGCGGCATGCCATTGAAGGCCTGTGATGAGCCCGTCGGCTCCACGCTATGGTACGCGTGCCTGTCCTTCTTCTTCCTCCTCGCAGCAGCACCCCCCGCATCCGCGCCCAGGTTCATCCCGCCAAACTGCGCCGCCAGGGCACCATCTTGCGATGGCAATGGAGACCCGGGATAGCTTTGGCCCTGTGGCAGGCCGTAGCCGGGAGTGGACGGTGGTG